GGCCGAAGGACCTGTTTCCTGGGCGGTATTGTTCTTCTTTGTTCTTTGTACTCTCCAATATACTCTCCAGTATACAGATAATGATCACTTTCCAGTGTACAGATAATGATCACTCTCCAATATACAGACAATGATCATTCTCCAATATATAGATAATGATTATTCTCCAGTATACAGGTAATGATCACTCTCCAGTATACAGACACTGATTACTCTCCAATATACAGACAACGATCACTCTTCAACATACAGACAATGATCACTCTTCACCATGGAGACAATAATCGGTCTCCACTATATAGATGAACATCACTCTCCAATATACAGACAATTATCATTCTTCATTCTTCTCCTATAGCGATATGTATTTCTCACATTGATACATAACTGCCAAAACTCTCTTTCTATGTTGCCGTATCTGGCCTCAGCTGAGGTTAGAGTTTTGGATTAGAATGCATGTGGTTTTCCATCTCATACCAGGGATATTGCCAGTCCTTCTGAAGAAACATAGTCTCACAGAGAGACAGGTCTCTTTCTGTTGTAGTATGACAGACTTGCCTCATTGCATGCTGCTTCTTTAAATTTGCTAAAACTTCTCTCATCTCTGACCACTGACAGCTGTATCTATCTTACTGAGATAGCGTGATGTTTTCAGGAGTTGGGGTGACTCCACCAGGTGTGTTCAGTATTCCAAAGAATGACACTCTATCACCATCACATTGCATTTGTCTGCATTTAGCATGATCTCAACTCTCCTGGTTCCCTTAATACCTTCCTGTGGATGGTGTTTTCATCAGTTTTCATCTACACCATAGACCTGAATATCACTATTTTCCTTGGAGTGGATAAAGTTGAGGGGGAACCTGACTGAGGTCTGAAAAATGATGACTATTAAAATTATTATTCAAATTATTAAAATGATGAGGGGCATAGATAGGGTCATAGGAAGAATCTTTTTTCCTAAGTACAGGGATCAGTAATGAGGGGGTAAAGATTAATGCAAGGGCCAGCAGGTTTAGAGGGGTTTTAATGTGAATTTTCTTTGCCCACGGTGGTGGTTATTTGGAACTCCCTGCCAGAAAGGACAGTAGAGGCAGGAACCATGAAGATGTTTAAGAAATGTCACAACATACAAGACAATGAACCAAATCTTTAGAAACAGAATTAAAGTATTGAGCTGAAGGGCCTCTTTCCATGCTGTAATACTCTGAGTCTACCATGGTTATACTGACTGCTGTTTTTCATCCTTGGTATGTATTGTACTCTTTCTCCTGGAACTTATCTTGGCTCACTTTAAAGCCAATATTTAAATTTTTACAAGCCAAAGGGCATGTTAAATATTGTCAGTGATGATGGTTCCTCATCAAATTTCATGTCCTGAATCTGTTTCTAGCAGCATATTTGCTGAGAATTTCACTACTGTTCAATTCCAGGAATGCAGGGCCATCAGTTTCAGAGATGTAGAATATGCAGTTAATGGTTTGTCCTTTCTATATCCTTCTGGATCATTCTGAACTGTTCAATCCCAGTTCCACCATAAGCCACCAGCGTAATTTTGCTCTGTTTCGGAACACCTATCTTTGGGTACCCATTTTCTTCCTCATTTTCAGGAAAGGTCTGATTAAAATCTGAGTGGGATGTTGTTGCTGTATGGTCTGTGATAAGAAGCTTCAGCTTCAGATTTATGGATGTTGGTTAATTTTGTCCCCTTTGTCTGATTGGGATGGCTGTGTGTACCTTTTCTTTCTCTGGTATCTGTTAAGTCCAGACATTTCATGGAGTTATGTACATCCCATGTATATTATATCATCAGATGCATCATTATCACTTACCAGCTTATGCACCTTTAGATTTCTTCACTTTCCGATTTGCACTGTTGTTCTGCCTCTGGTGATCTTTTTTTCCCCGCTATTTCCATTTTTGTTCAGCACATTCTTCCCCAGTCATTGGACTTCTCAAAGCTCTGTAGCTTTGCTTTATGTGTGGGACATGTCCTTCTGTCCACAAACTCACGTGGTTATCCAAAGCTCTCACACAGCTTCCTTATCCTGTTGCACCTTCCCTCATTGCTGTTTGGCTGCAACAACTGTTCTTCCTTTCACTTGACTTGACTGAAGACCTGCTGTTTAGGCAGTCAGCAAGTTCATTCATCTGCTTATGGCTTTGTGTGTTCTGATAGTGTCAACTCCCTGTGATATTGTTAGCCTGTCCTGTCCTGCCAGTGCTCTGTTGACATCAGAATGTGTGGAGACCCAAATGAGCTGATGGACCAGCCTTTCATCCATTTGAATTGACACATGTTGGCTTATTTTCACAAACCTGTTGAGAAATTGTCAGTAGGCTCACCTAATTCCAAGTTTTGAAGTTCATATCAGTGGATCTGGTGATTTAAGTTAGACTGGAGATGGGTGCTGAACTTCTCAAAGCTCTTGTCTGAGTTTTTGCTTTCATTCTCATTGATCTCCCAGCTATTAAACAATCTAAATGCTTTTCTCCTGCCAACAGTAGGATGTAGCTGACCCCTTTTCCTTCACTCATGCCTCTTCAAAAACTGCTGAATATAAATTTGCACTTTTGTTTAAACTTCTCAAATGCCTCTAGAGATCATTGACCTCTCAATTTGTCATGAGTTGGACTGTGCAGATATTGCTGTGGCAGTGATTTACTCAGTTATTTTCTCACTCCCTGGCACTAAGTTGGCTTGATCTCTCTCCATCGAATTAGCATCTATTTTGCTTATAATGCTTGGGATTTATTTGAAGAAACCTGCAGCCACTATGTTAGGTCTCGTGACTTCCAGAAGTTCAAAATGCTCACAATTTTAGATTCAAATGTCATATCGAATGTGTCTCAGACCACATCATGTGCTAGGAGCAACATACATCAGTGCTTGGAATGCTGACTGTTATGCAATAGTGAGTAGTGTGGCACTCTGGCGCTTTAAGTATATATAGACATGAATGTTTAATTCCTAAATTATGTTGGAATTAGATAACAATATATCAGTCAAATTACTGAATCTGTATTGCAGGTTGAGCAGAGATGGAAGTCATGATAGAATACATCTGAATTATGGGGAAGGGGCTGAATAGAGCAAAAACTGACAAGTCCAGCGTCTTGTTTGAGATTGTCATGTATGACTACCATCTTTAATTGCATAAACCTCCCTTGTGTCCTTTTGTTACAGTGAAAATGCCATTAGTCAATTGGAATTAATGACTGTACGTTGGAAACTGCAAACTCTGATACAATTAACACCCAGATTAGAAGCAAAAGTGTAATTTCAAATCCAGCACTGGGACATATAAAACTGCTAAAGGGAAAATCCAACCAAAATATCATTCAAAGACAAAATACTATTACTAGAGGCACCAAATTCTTCTTCTCCGATATTTAACCTTTATATTTAAAGCAGATAAATTAATCTAGGAGAAATAGCTAGCTGGAAAAGAATGCAGACTTTTGAGAGTAAGGCTTTGTGGACTCAGTAACTTTCTAAATTCAGCAGCCACTGCTGTTTTCACTCTCACTAGATATTGTTTTGTATGAAACTATGACAAGTAACTGCAAGTAATTTGTTTTTGTAACCGTAACTGTTTGTACTTTCTTAATACATTTAACACAGTTTATGATATTTTGAGATTGGAGAAGAAATTCAGGAAGTAGGTAATCACTACCTTTGTAAAGGTAAGCTTTCAGTGGAATAAATAAAGATAAATAAAAGAAAAATAACTGGCCTTGATTGAAAAAAATTAAATAAATTACTGAGTTAGTAAAAATACAATTTTTTGAAATTACACTGAGCATTGTTGTTAAAAAAGTAATGACTTTTTTTGGAAGAATAGTAATATAGGACAGTTTGGAATCATTCCATTATACCTACTATGCAGCATATGCGTAGGTAACAATGGAGTTATTTTCCATTACAAAACTGACATTCAAGAAAGCATTTGATGATTATTTAAATAGAAATGATGTGCATAGATATGGGAGAGGGCCAGAGAATGGCAGTAAGTCTCAAAGCTCATTCAGAGAGCTAGTGCAGACAAGATGGGCCAAATGGCCCCCTTTTGCACTGTAACAATTTGTGAAACATTCCCTTGTTGTTATTTGAATTCTATGTGGTTTTGATATCAATTCTGTCACCTCTTGTATTTTTGATTTCCTTATATCGCTAAGTAAAGCCAATTTGAATTTATTTAAATCATAGTAATCCCTTTCAAATGATCTCTATTGAATAGGTTAAATTCTTATTTCAAAATCAGTGAATTGCCGATCTGAAAATGATTTCTAAGATGAGCCATCATTAAGCAGGCTGTGCAAAATGATGATAGTCTTCAAAAATTAAAGCTAGGGTCATTAATTGATATGCTACAACTAGTTACGTATTGTTATAGATTTTAATGGAAATCTATAGTTGGTATATATAAGATACAAATTAGGCCGATGATGCAATGGCACAATGAGTTGAGATGTGGGCAGTGCTCACCTCAATTGCAAGCTTCTTCTCTTGGCTGAGCTGACAGGAGAAGATACTGATTAATGACGGTGTGGGTTCTCATACAGTGAGAGGAAAGACCATGATCTGAATGCCCTGAGCTTGTCCCATCAACCCTCCCAGTGTTTGGCTACAAAATGCCAATGATGATAATATGGCTACAGCTCATTTTTCCTTTCTGATGAAGGGCTAAAGAAAAAACTAAAATAAAATTAGGTAGAGATAAAACAAAAGAAAGAATAATGTGTAAGGTAAAAGTGGAAAATACTTATGTACACAGTAAGACCACTATTATCTGAATATATAAAACATAAATAAATGGCTCAGGGACAGATCCCTCTTAATAAATTTTTAAAATCTAAGGCAATGTCCTGTCAGGTGCTGGCTATTTCCAGAATTGTCTGTTAATACGGCATGTTTTGTTTTAGTAAGGAATAACTTAAGAAATTAATAAATTGTAAAACAATTGCTGTTTTCTTCATTGTATGTTTGTTTTTAACAGGCTACAGCTCCTCACAATATTAACACAGTATATGCAAAGATCTGTCAAATTCCAATACCAAGAGTAGATGAGAAGGGATTCACCTTACCAACAGAAAATTTGAACAAAAAGGTATAGACTTTTGCATAAAACTATGGGGATCATGAAATGTATTTACCTAAACAATAGACTGTGACAAGTGGGTATTCTTGTTGTGCAGTGGTTGTGTCCCTACCTTTGAGCAAAAAGGCCTGGGTTTAAGTCCCATGGATTCAAGTAATGTGTCATTTCTGTTTCTGAACAGGCTGATTAAAAATATCTGTATTGTAAGGAATTAAATTTATGTGTACCTTGTGGAGTGCTTTGAGCATTAATTAAGGTGGGTAGCAAGAATTAAGCGAGGGAAAAAGTTGTTTAATAACATTTCTCTTCAATAAAATAAATAAAAATGGTGGGATAAGAGAAGGCAGAGCAAATAAATTTCTTTTGAAGGTCATTTGTAATTTGCTTGAAAAACACACAATGGATTTTATTCAGAAAATGATGCTAGCATGAATCCTTAGCTAATCTTTAAATACATTTATGTTTTACTAATAGATAGGCTAATATATAAGTGGGATGTTAAAGTTGTTACATCAAGCAGATATTCAGTAACACCATATCCAAAATGTACTACTGCCTCCTGCAGCTATCCTTTATAACCAAAATTGTGGGGTGTTTGTCGATAGATCACTCACTTGAAAGCACCTTCTGTACAAACATTATTGTTAAAGAACATTTCCTAATCTATCTACTACAGTTGTTAATTCACAGAAATATTCTGTCAGATTGTAGCAATATCAGGTAACATTTGTTTGAAATTATTTGCTCGGTAGATGCACTCATTTCTCACTGCTATTTGTATGAAACATGTGTAGGTGAATGATTCACTGTGCCATTAGTCACTTAGAGTCATAGAGTAATACAATGTAGAAACAGACTGTTCGCTCCAACTAATCCACACTGACCATGTTCCCAAACAAACTTTGCTGAAGGGACTTTTCTTTTGCAACCCCAATTTATCCAAACATTGTCAATTTGAATGCAGTGAAAGAATACTTTTAATCTCTTGAAACTGCTCATTAGCCATGTAACAAACCCAAATTTTGAAATGGCAAAAAAAGAACAAAATTATAGTTGAGTTTATTTTAAAATTAGGGCATAGTCTTATTTGCCTTTTCATCATCCATATTTCATTTCGAGACTCCAAGTAATACTACCAGATTTTAAATTGAAACTGAAACACTGGCGGGCTTATTACAGTGCTGTTCCCATAATATCTGTCATTCCAAACAATGTAGTTAGTTCACCATCTAGCGGTAAGTTTTGCAATAGCTTACTGCTGGATTCAGAGAGTGATATAGAGAGTGATTCTTTTAGTATTTGTTCCCACCCTCTATTGAGTCAACGGCCTTAAAAGTACTACAGAGAAACAGGGAGAACAACTAAAGAAAATAAAAATAAAAAAAGCCAAGCTGAAGCGGTGGGCTAAAGGGAGTGAATCAACCTTTTGGTGTCAGACTGACGAGGTGCCAGTACTCCATGCAAGCCTAAAGGCCTTGCGTAGCTGCCTGGAGGCAGCAGCAGTTGAAGCCATGGATTACGCTGTGGAATGCCTCCAGCCATCACCTGCCAACCTCTTCAACCTCAAACTCAGACAGGAACGACCAGGCTGCAGACACCATTTTGCAAGATTACATTTAGAAAGTCTTGGAGATGTCCTCTATCTCTGTCACTTTATCCATCATGGCCTCTTGCCCTTGCTTCCAAACGATATGGTCTCCTATTGAGAATGCACTGGTCATCCTTAAGTGAACAATGAGCTACTCTCTGGCCATTAACGGACTGAACCCGAGCAAAATAACTATTTCCCACACAGTGAGCTGGGAACAACTGTCCATGTTGGCTGTAAGTGAGCAAATTAATAGCAGGTAATATTTAGTCCTGATAAATGTAAAGTCCTGAACAAGGAGTTTAAATAAAGGCATTGTAATTACTCCATAAATGTTGAAATATGAAGTTGAAAGAAATTAGATCCCATGCTCACACACTCCTTATGGAGCAGCTCAATCCAAATAGACCTTAGGTCCAAGCCACACTTTGTGTATTATGTTCAGTACTGCAGGCTGCTCAGTGAAAAGGACTCAGCCAGTTCCTACTTTTGGAGAACTGAGTGATCATGAAAAACACAAATGAGGCTGTTCTGTTTTCCAAACAGGTGATAGGTGACTTATACCAATGTGAGATATACAGCACAGCAGTAGTCTAGAGAAGGTGAAATTTGCTTTTGTATACAGCACACAGCAATTTCATTTTGGCACTTCATACAACATACAAATTGCATTTGTACTGATATGCCGGCTGTAAGCATTAGAGATTGCACACTATTACATGAGTCATTCTGGCTCACCCCAATACCGTTTCCAACAGTGGCTAGATAAAGAAGTCAGCACCCAACACCCTTAACTGATGCATGAGTGTGCGGTTGGGAGGTGGTTTGCAAGGAGGGTGGGCAGATCTCCTCTCTGGTCTTGCCCCTCCCTATCTCTGTAATCCTCCGCCAGCCGCACAACTCAGCAAGATGTTTGCACTCCCCTCATTCTGGCCTTTTATGCATTTGCTCCATCATTGATGATTTGATGAAGGTTGGTGGCTGTGCCTTCAGTTATCTTAATCCCAAACTCTGGAATTCCCTCTCTATCCCTCTCCACATCTCTTCCCATACTTTCATCCTTTAAAATATTCTTCAAACTTACCTGTTTGACTGACCTTTTGGTCATTTTTGGCCTTATGTCTTCATTTGTGTCTTGGTGTCGTATTTTGTTTTATGATATTCCTGTGAAGGATTTTGAGATTTATCATCATGTTGGAGGTGCTATATAAATGCACCTGATTTTTTTTGTTATTGGTATTGTTTCATTGTTTGCTTGATAATGCTTCACTGGGGCATCTACACTACAGGTGCCACATAAATACAAGTTGTTGCTGTCATTAATCAATAACTGTTTCCAGTGGAATATTACTCCTTATACTATGTAAGCTGATAATTATCAAAGACGATCAATGTGATGCATCAGTATGACACTTCTCATCAATGTTAGATGTTTCAAGTTTACAACATCTTCTATTTAGAGAAACTGAGTGTAACTGGATACTTTGATATATTGGTAACTGTGCTGATGTGTTTAATTTTAGATTGGATTAGCAGCATCGTACATTGGCATCCATACTGACATGGTGCAAATAGAGGAGAGAAATGTCTACTGTGGTCCTTACAATATAATAGTCATCAAACAATTGTATGTAATTGAGCAAGATCTACATTTATCATCAATGCTTTTTATTGTTTATTATTATTTTACTAACTTTACATAGTTGCAATTAAAAATTAAGTTCACATTTAAATACAGTGGCATTGAAAATGCTGGAAGCATTTGGTTGTTTGTTCTGGGGGAAAGATGGTTTCAATTGGTGCTGTGTGTTACCAGGATGTAGAAACGTAGAAGACAGGAGCAGGAGTAGGCCATTCTACCCCTTGAGCCTGCTCTGCCATTCAATATGATCATGGCTCAACATAAACCTCAACACCCTAATCCTGCCCTCCCCCCATATCCTTGATCCCTTGAACGATATCTACCTCCTTCTTGAAAACATGATATTTTGGCCTCAACCACTTTCTATGGTAGTGAATAATGCAGATTCACCACCCTCTGGGTGAAGACATTTCTCCTTATCTCAGTTCTAAAGGTTTATCGCTTTAAGCTGTGACCCATGGTTTTGGACTCCCCCACCATCAGGAACAATCAGCGTCTAGCCTCTCTAGTCCTGATAGGTTTCTATGAAATCCCCCCCTCATTCTTCTAAACTCCAGTGAATACAAACCAAACCAACTCAATCACTCCTCATATGTCAGCCCCACCGTCCCAGGAATCAATTTGGTAAACCTTCATTGCACTCCCTCTATAGCAAGAGCATCCTTTCTCGGATAAGGAGACCAAAACTGCACATGATATTCCAGGTGTGGCCTCACCAATGCCCTGTATAATTGCAGTAAGACATTCTTGTCCCTCCACTTGAATCCTCCAATTATGAAGGCCAATGTACAGTTTGCTGCCTTTACTGCCTGCTGCACCTGCATGCCTCCTTTCAGCAGTTGGTGCACAAGGATACCCAGGTCTCATTGAACATTCCCCTCTCTCAATTTACAGTGATTCAAATAATAATCTGTCTTCCTATTTTTACCAAAGTGGATGACCTCCACATTATACTGCATCTGCTGTGCATTTTCCCACTCACTCAGCCTTTCCACATTACGCTGCGACATCTCTGCATCCTCCTCACTGCTCACCTTCTCACCTAGCTTTATATCATCTGCCAATTTTGAGATGTTACATTTAGCTCCCATCTAAATTATTAACATATATTGTGAGTAGCTGGTGTCCTTGTATCAATTCCTGCTGTATCCCACAACTCATAGCTTGTCATTCAGCAGAAGATTCATTCATATTTTTTGTTTCTGCTAACCAATTTTCCCTGACAGACATCCTGTTGCTGGGTTTGAATGTTGGAGGCAATCCTCACATCAGCCAGCAACAGGAACTGTGACACCATCTTCCTGCCCTGGTCCCATTGATTGGACAGTAGTCAGCCTCCCCCATTCTCCCCAAGAGCTGCTGGGACAGTGACAGGCCTGGCAACTCTGCAGTGCCACCAATAGGAGGCACCCATTGCTGAAGATGTCACTGCATGAAGAGGCGTTTCAAAAAGGAGCACAGGGGTTGGGGATGCCAGGGCTAGACAGGTAGGCCCTGACGACGGGGGTAGAGGTTGGGAAGGAGATTTGCAGTGTCCTGGCAGTGCCATCGATATAGGAGTGGCTGTTACTGTTGGGAGTGTACACAAAGGAGATCAGCTCAAACCCCACCCCGCCCCACCCTTCACTCTCCCTTGGAGGGTTCCAGTTTCACTGGATTTCTGGATAGTCTCATCACTCCATGGCAGATGTTGGAAGTAGCCCTTAATTGGCCACTTTGGTGGCTCAATCAGGCAGGCTCTCTGCTAACTTTCCTACTGTTGGCAAAATGGCACGACAGTGGGACTTAACCACCCCCTGTGGTGGCTTTCCCCTGCCACTGTGCCACCCTTCCTGCTTTCTCTTCCTTCCCCAAAGAGCCCCGGAAATTCCCTCCTTGTTGTTCAATCTTTTCGATCACAGTGTGTTTTCTCTGTCTTGCTTAATTTAATTTTAATTATTTTCTTCCTGTTTTATTTGAGTTCCTCTTTCTTATGCCTCACTGTGCGAAAGATGCAGGTTTGCCACCAACAGTTACTGGAGCTCAGTGGTGTTGCTGCAGTCAGTTTGCCCATGTTTTAATCTCATGTTAATTTGTGAAGTTTGGATCCTCTGTAAAGATCATACAGGCCAGGAAGGGGACTTAAAAGAAAAAGGGGCCAATTTAACTAAGCCCGATTGAAAAATGGCTTACATGAGATGGCAAGCACTCGTGGGCTGAAGAAAATAAGAGAAAATGATGACAAATACAGAAATAAAGGACAGAGTGACAGCCAATGTTTAACAATGTGCTGTCTTTCATTGCTCAGTATGGACACTGCCAGGGTCATTCACTATGGCGGGGGACAAATGATAGCTATGGCCTCTGGCGACAGAAGAATAAGATTCTTGGATATCAACCGTTCCAAAGATGTACCCCATTCATTGACTGGACATGCTGGAGTCATCAAGGCAGTGATTCTCTGTGAGGAGCGAGATTTTCTACTCAGTGGAAGCTATGACCTTAGTATCAGGTGGGAGTTAAAATGTTTCCTTGTTTTTTTGTTGAAACAATTTGCTCAAAATGTGCTTATGTTTCTAAAAAAAATCCACCTTTTGTTTTACAAATCGGTCACTTTTAGAAAGTGGAATCTGAAGACTGCAACATGTGTGACCATCTACCGGGGGCACATAGGATTTATTACCAGTCTCAGCCTGCACGAGAATATGTTTGTATCAGGATCAACAGACTGTCAGGCTAAAGGTTAGACAAATTGTGAGCCTAATTTTAAGCGAATAAGGTAAGGTAAAGTCATCATAGTCCTAAAGGACCATAGGGCTGGTCTCTCATCAGAGAGAGAGAGAGCTGGTGGTGGTTTAACCTGAGGGTCGCCACTCCTCAGGTGAAGGGAGAAGCTGAGAAGGAGGGACCTTCACAGTAACCTCAGCCAGTGTGGGAATTGAACCCATGCTATTGGTATCACTCTGCATTACAACCCAGCTGTCCAGCCAACTGACCTGACCTAACCTAAGCAACCCAAAATTGTCAGTCCCTGCACCACCCAGGAATCAAACCCTGGTCTTAAGAATGGGAATCTTATATGATACCACTAGATAAGGAGAGTTTCAAGGAGAGGATCAGGTGGAATCTCAGTTTTCCACTCAAACCCCCAATCACACTCTGCTTACACACTTCTAATAGAGTCACAGAGGTATACAGCATGGAAACAGGCCCTTCAACCCAACTCATTCATGCCAGCCAGGATTCCTACACTGAACTAGTAAAAGTGGACTGGATACTAAACCAGCATTGTAAACAATCCTATCAGACTCCCAATGGTCACTGTGGGGTAAATTATTCCCTACAGGTTTACCTCGAAAATATCAATTCACTGCTTCCCTAAATTCTAATGAAGAACCGCATCTAATGCCTTTAGTTGTCTGATGTTCTCTGGATTAATTTCTAGAAGGAGTCCATGAAGACAGATTGATTAGAACTGGCCTATACTGTGTGCAGTTTAGAGGAATGAGAGGTGACCTCATTGAAGCTGGGGAGCTCACACACCACAAGGTCACAGTCTTAGGCCAAGATTTAGGATTGAGCAGGGGAAAACCTTCTTCACTAAGAGGTAGAATCTTTGGAATTTTTTTGCCACTTGCTGTGGACGTTGGATAGCAATCCCTGACTGGGGAAGGCCAGTCACTTTTCAGTGGGAATCAGTGTGATCCACATGGAAGGAAAGGGGAGGTGTGACAGGCAGTGTCAGGGAGGCTTTTCTGCCAGAAACGATAGGGAAGACCTCAATAGGGAGGGGAAGAACAGAGTGACAAAGGTGTCAAAGTTGGATATGGGAAGTGATCAGTGAAGGGGGAGCCTTCAGAGAATGGGAATCATACACCTAGTATTCTTGGAGGCATGAATTCCATCAACAAACATATTGAACTTGACCTGATATACAAACCACTGAAAAACAGAACTGCAAGTAATACCCACCATCCCAGCAAACTGAGGCATTTCAATAACAAGGGGGACAGAACACCAACACTTCACGGGAGGCGCACTGATGATGTTACCCAGCAAGGTGACAAAATGTCTGCAATCAAACACACCGGATCGGTGAGCAAGTCTACACCACCATAAGGCGTTACATCTCTGATACCAATTGCTACGCTGAGGTCCAGCCCCTGTGTCTGTCGTGATGCTCAATGACCTGAGGTGAACTTGGTGGCTGCCTTTCAGGAGAACTCAGATGTTCTTGTCTACAGTGGAGCAACCTCAGGCTGACACAAAATTACCCTTGCCTTAGAGTGCACCAGAGATGGATGTGAGAGAATTTCAGCTTGCTCTCTTCTGTTCAGGGATTGTGATGGTTTGACTGCCTATGAGTCAGCTCCTCGATCCCTTTTTCCCTTGATAGGTCTTTGCTTCCAATATAGCCCAGAAACAAGCTGGCCTGGGGAGCTGCCATCCTACTCCATTCCAACGGCCTTGGAGCTTGCAACCTCAGTTGGTCATCCTGGGACACCATGAATTATACCTCATGCATCAGGCCCTTACAAGATGTTTCCATATTTAACTTCATTGATAATATGATGTATACTGGTTGCTTCCAATTACTGTTAGTGCCAGGAGGAAGGAGGAATGGTTTACATTTCAATAGCATTAATAGATACGCTCAGATTCTGTAGCTTCATGTAAACCTCTAATATTATTTCAAGGAAATATAGAGAGTAGTTGCAGGAGTAGGCCTTTTCATGTCCATTTTGTCACTCAATAAGATCATGACTGATCATCCAAGTCAGTACCCAGTTCTTGCTTTTTCCCCATATCCATTGATCCTTAGCCCTAAGAACTATATCTAACTCCCTCTTAACAATATTCAATGTTTCAGCTTCAATAGATTTTTGTATCAGAGAATTTGACAGGCTCACCATTCTCTGGGTGAAGAAATATTTCCTCAACTCAGTGCGATATGACCTATCCCTTATCCTTAGACTGTAACCCCTGGTTCTGAACAGCCTGGTCAGCAGGAACATCCTTCCTGCATATACCCTGTCTAATTCTATTAGAATTTTATAGGTTTCTGTGAGATACCCCTCATTCTTCTAAACACCAGTGATTATTATCCTCCTCCAGTTTCCATAGCTCTGAGGCTAGTTATATGTTTATTTATCATGTTATCTTGACTTAACCAGCATTGGACATATAACTTACAAATGTAGCAAAAATATTCCATTTTGTAATCTTCAAACTGACTGCATCACATCTTGTGTTGCTCATTGACTCACTGAAAAACGGGTGATTATTTTTGTATCACTGAGATTATGTGGATTAACTTGCTTGGCAGCATCAGTGGTGCATAGCAAATTTAATGCCAGCAGGAATTCCATTAAATCTTTCCTCTTGCTGCTCATTCATCACAGATCATGAAATGGAGCTTTAACAGATGATGCTGGATTTCTGAATTTTGATAGAGTTGGCTACTATTCATGAATAAATAACCTGACAAAAATTAAAGTTTACCTTTGAAAGAATGAATTATGTTTTTCCCATTGCATATAATAATAATCTAATTCAAAATATATTTTCATATTAATATTTACTTTTCTCTACATGCCTGTACTTAGTTAATCAAGTGCATAATCTTTCATATTGAATTGTCTTATGTAGTGCATAATCGTTTTAATATCAGTCACTTGCATATGTTTTTATTAGCTATATTATCAATGATACACAAATAAAACATTTGAGAATGCTACACACTGTCTATGGAAGTCCCAATCAATCTGAAATCCTGTTCATTACAGAGCATTTTCAAATGGATGTCTTGCTTCTACTGGAGCTGGTAGATATTTGCACCTTGTACTTCATGATGTCTTTTTTTTGCTTTGATGTCAGTGTGGGACCTTCAGAAAGAAAACTGTTTTCAGACCTTCAAGCATGACAAATCAGTTCTGTCAGTGGCTATTAATGCAATACACGTGGTGAGCGGCTGTGAGAAAGGAATGATCCATGTCTGGAACATTGAACCTCCTTCATTAGTCAAGGTATTCAGAGAAGAATAATGTGAAGCTACTAAATATACCTTCATTGTTATCTCCAGTTCCCTTTCTGCTTCAATGTCCTATGCTTCATAGTGAGAAAGGGGGATCCTAGTGGGAGATGAGAATAGAAGGATTAATGCACAGGCTCTGCCTGGTGCTGGGAAAGTATTGGAATGTGGGATCAACTTATACTTATCCTGATCTGCATTAAGCAAAGATTAACTATGAAACATGGCGCATCCCTAGCTACTTAACTATCCATTATGACTACAGATATATTTCAAACAAATTGTTTGAGATATTATTACACACTTCTGGAACAGGCAGGTCTTGAACCCAAGCTTCCTTGCTCAGAGATAGGGACACTACCACTGTAACAGAAGACCCCCAATTCCTTAAGGTGTATATACTCCATAACTTCACCCAGAACACGTACACAACGAGTTGTCTGCTTAGAAAAACATTCCTGTGAAACAATGACCTTATCCTGGTCAATGCACAATGTGTAGTGCCACCTAACTATACAAAACGCTGCAAGATCCTCAAAGTATGTATCAACAAGTAACTGGCAATTTAAGCAGTGGCTTTGGTCAGCAAAGGGATGGTCACTGAGGTAAAGTCAAATTGTGGGTATCTAGCTACAGAACCTGCCAAGAGTACCTCAGTAACCTACATGGGGTAAGCAAATGGCATCAAGCAGGCAGTCCCATAGAGCTCGTGGCTCTGAGCTGGCACATATTCCCACCAAACTGCAGATCCAGTTGTGATGCCAATCATCATTCAAGGTGGGCTGGTGGGAGAGGTTGCAGCCCAGGTGGCACTCAGCCACTTCATTTGTATAGAATTGATGGTAAATTATTAAAATCATACCTTTTAATAGGCTGATTCTACTCCTGCAATTGGCTTTAACAGCTGGCAGAACAGAGTAAACTGTGGACTTCCTTGTCAAAAGGCCATTCAAATGCCATCGTTGTATCACAGGACCCATTCCGTAGAGGCCAGCAAGGCTCCTGCTTCATTCAGGCAGGACTTAGCCACCCATTCAGGGAAACGCCCAAACAAAATGGTTCAAGCAGCCAGTATGTTTACCGTGTCCATTTAGTAGCAGTTCCTCAGTTTATTTTAAGAGAGTTAAAATTTCCCTTGTGTTATTGAAGAGTCAATCTGCTATGGGAGAATAAGATGAAAAGTAATCAATACGAACACTTCTGCTGAAGACGTAGGTGGAACCAAAAACAGGAGGTATCCTTGATTTGACCAGTGGTAAACCCAGTGGTCATATTCCCAGTGGCATGGTTGGAACATAAGAATGATGACCAAGCCCTAAAGGCTGCTGGCTCAATCAGAGGGCTCGACAGCACCGCCGCTAGTCAGAGTCATTCCGAGGGCTGCAAGTGGCATTAACGCTAAACTCTTAATCCAGGGACCCAGGTAATGTTCTGGGGACGCAGGTTCAAATCTTGCCATGGCGGATGGTGGAAAGACAAATTCTGGAATTAAAAATCTACTGATGACTATAAAATCATTGTTGATTGTCAGAAAAACCCATCTGGTTCACTAATGTCCTTCAGGGAAGGAAACTGCCATCCTCATCTGGTCTGGCCTACATGTGACTCCAGACCCACAGCAATGTGGTTCACTCTCAACTGCCCTCTGAAATGGCCTAGCAAGCCATTCAATTTTACCAATCACTAAAAAGTCTCAAAGAAATGAAACCTGATGGATCACCTGGCATCGACCAAGGCACCAGAAAAGACAATGGCAGAAACAGCCCTGTTAACCCTGCAAAGTCCTCCTCACTAACATCTGGGTTGGTGTCAAAATTGGGAGAGCTGTCTCACAGACTAAGCAATCTACAGCCTGACATAGTCATGCTCACGGAATCATACCTTATAGACAATGTCTCAGATGCCACCATCACCATCCCTGGATATATCCTCCCAGTGGAGGTGGCGGTGCTGTCGTATGCAGCCAGGAGGCAGTCCTCAATTTTGACTCCGGGCCCATGAAATCTTATGGCTCCAGGTTAAACACAGGCAAGGAAACCTCCTGCTGATTATCATGCACCATCCTCCCTCAGCTGATGAATCGGTACTCCTCCATGTTGAACAACACTTGGGGGAGGCACTGAGGATGGCAAGGCCACAAAATGTATTGTGGGTGGGGGATTTCAATGTCCACCATCAAGACTGGCTCGGCAGCAGTACTACAGTTCGAGCTGGACGGGTCCTAAAGGACATAGCTGCTAGACTGGGTCTGTGGCAGGTGGTGAGGTAACCAACAAGAGGGAAAGATATACTTGACCTCATCCTTATCAATCTGCCAGGTGTATGACAGTATCAGTAAGAGTGACCAACATATAGTCCTTGTGGAGACGAAGTCCCACCTTCACATTGAGAATAACCTCCATTGTGTCGTGTGGCACTATCATTGTGCTAAGTGGGACAGACTTTGAACAGATCTAGCAACTCAAAACTGGGCATCCATGAGGCGCTGTGGGCCATCAACAGCAGCAGAATTGTACTCCAGCACAGTATGTAACCTTGTGGCCCAGCATATCCCCCACTCAATCTTTACCACCAAACCAGGGGATCAACTTTGTTTCAATGGAGTGTGCAGGAGGGCATGCCAGGAGCAGTACCAGGCATACCTGAACATGAGGTGTCAACCTGATGGAGCCACCAAACAGGATTACTTGCACACCAAACAGCAAAAGCAGTAAGTGATAGACAGAGCTAAGCGATCCCACAACCAACGGATCAGATCGAAGCTCTGCAGTCCTGCCACATCCGGTCGTGAATGGTGGTGGACAATTAAACAACTCACTGGAGCAGGAGGCTCCACAAATATCCCCATTCACAATGATGGAAGAGCCCAGCACATCAGTGCAAAAGATAAGGCTGAAGCTTTCGCAGCAATCTTCAACCAGAAGTGCCAAGTGGACGATCCATCTTGGCCTTCTCCAGTGGTCCCCAGCATTACAGATATCTGTCTTTAGCCAATTCGATTCACCCCACATGATATCAAGAAACGGTTGGAGGCACTGGATACTGCAAAGGCTACAGGCCCTGACAATATTCCAGCAATAGCACTGAAGACTTGTGCTCCAGAACTTGCTGCTCCCCTAGCCAAACTATTCCAGTATGGTTACAACACTGGCATCTACCCAACAATGTGGAAAATTACCCAGGTATGTCCTGTACACAAAAAGCAGGACAAATCCAACCCAGCTAATTACTGCCCCATCAGTCTCCTCTCGATCATCAGTAAAGTGATGGAAGGTGTCATCAACAGTGCTATCAAGCAGCAGCTGCTCAGAAATAACCTGCTCAGTGATGCCCAGTTTGTGTTCCGCCAGGGCCACTCAGCTCCTGACTTCATTACAGCCTTGGTTCAAACATGGACAAAAGAGCTGAATTACAAAGGTGGGGTGAGAGTGACAGCCCTTGACATGAAGGCCTCATTCGACTGAGTGTGGCATCAAGGAGCCCTAGCAAAACTGGAATCAATGGGAATAAGGGGGCAGTCTCTCCAGTGGCTAGAGTTATACCTGACACATAGAAAGATGGTCATGGTTGTTGGAGGTCAGTTGTCTTAGCTCCAGGAAATCTCTGCAGGAGTTTCTCAGGGTGGTGTCCTTGGCCCAACCATTTTCAGCTGCTTCATCAATGAACTTCCCTCCATCAGAAGCGGGGATGTTTGCCAATGATTGTACAATGTTCAGTACCATTCATGACTCCTTAGATACTGAAGCAGTCCATGACCAAATGCAACAAGTTCTGAACAATATCCAGGCTTGGGTTGACAAGTGGCAAGTGACATTCACGCCACACAAATGCCAGACAATGACCATCACCAATAAGAGACAATCTAACCACTGCCCCTTGACATTCAATGGTGTTACCATCACTGAATTCCCCCACTAGCAACATCTTGGGATTTATCATTGACCAGAAACTCAACTGCTCTCACCACATAAACATAGTGGCTACAAGAGCAGGTCAGAGGCTAGGAATGCTGTGGTGAGAAACTCACCTCCTGATTCCTCAAAGCCTGTCCACCATCTATGAGGCACAAGTCAGGAGTGTGATGGAATACTCCCCACTTGCCTGGGTGAATGTAGCCCCAACAACATTCAAGAAGCTTCGCACCATCCAGGACAAAGCAGCCCGCTTGATTGGCACTACTTCCACAAACATTCATTCTCTCCACCACCGACACTCAGTAGCAGCAGTGTGTACTATCTACAAGATGCACTGCAGAAATTCACCAAAGATCCTCAGACAGCACCTTCCAAACCCACAACCATTTCTATCTAGAAGGACAAGGGCAACAGATATATGGGGACACCACCACCTTCAGGTTCCCCTCAAGCCACCCAGCATCATGACTTGGAAATATATCGCTGTTCCTTTACTGTCGCTGGGTCAAAAATCCTGGAATTTCCTCCCTAGTGGCACAGCAGGTGGACTGTAGCAGTTCAAAGAAGGCAGCTCATCACCACCTTCTCAAGGACAACTAGAGACGGGCAATAAATGCTGGCTAGCAAGCGATGCCCACATTCCACAAATTGAATTTAAAAAAAATAGATTTCAAACAACCACTCCCACAGTGCACTAACATGGACAAAAAGGCCTGTTGGTCGAGGAGGCAAGAGGCCTTTAATTGGCTACTCAAGTGACTCAATCGGACTCCTGTAGGGTGGCGTCTCTACGTGGGTGGGACATACTGCCAGCCTTTGGCCATTAGCAAAATGACATAGTGGCACCCCACTCCCCCATGACCAACTTTTCCAGCCCTTCCACTTTCTGGCCTGTTGCCAAAGGGCTGATAAAATTTTGCCCATGAACTCTGCTTTTGTCTTCACAGATTCTGCCTGACCCGCTGAGTATTTTGCAGCATTTTCTGTTTTCCTCACAGATGGCAATCTTGTGCATTCTTTAAGTATGAAACTAGAACATCTTCCTTAATTGTTATTCTCAAATAAAAAGAAATTCAGAAGGACAAAAAGGTTCATCCAGAATGAGACAGATGATAGGTAGAGCAGGGAACTAGACATTCTGCTTTATTCACTGTGCTATGTGTAACCCTGACTGTTTAAATTCATTCTGTCCTATTTTGCAAGGTTGGCCTGGTTACACAACTTTCTTTGAATTAAAATGGATTTTCGTTTTGGATTATTCAGGTTCTGACTGGTCATATAAATTCAATCACATGTTTGTCTTTTGACCAATGGCATTTGATCAGTGGAAGCAAGGATAAATGTGTTAAGGTGTGGAGTATGATGGGGAAATTTAGTGACTGTTTATTGACTTTCAAGCATCCACAGTAAGTAACTCAACTGGAAATAAGACATAAATATTGTCTATTTACCCCAAGCACTAACATCATAAATATCCCATGTCAACAAGGGGTAAATGACCCTGATGTGTAGCAAACCAGATTTAATTTCTATTTCTGAATCCTCATGTTTCAATACAAGATAACATATTCTTCCCATTTTGTATTAAAGCATGAGATACTAAGAGGTTTTTTTTTAAATGAAAGCCTTAAAAAAAAACACATCAGAATCAGAGAAAGCCTTGATTGTAATTTGAACAAGCCATTTGTATGTCCATTGTGATGACACTGGTTATACCTTCACTAACACATTCAATTGTCTACAAATTTACAAACGGGATGGTTCTGCATAAGAAAATTTGAATATTCCTATTGCACGAGTGTGAGTCCTACTCAGAACTGCAGTTTTTTAAGTGAACTTCTGTATGTAGCAATGTGAATATAAACATAGAATCCCTATAGCGTGGAAGCAGGCAATTTGGCCCATTGAGTTCACACCAACCCTCTGAAGAAGCAGTCTACCCAGATCCTCCCTCTACCCTATCCCTGTAATCCTGCATTCCACATGGCTAATCCACCTAGCCTATACATCCGTGGACACTATGGGCAATTTAGCAATGGCCAATCTACCTAACCTGCACATCTTTGGACTGTGGGAGGAAACCCAGGCAAATAATGGGGAGAATGCGCAAACTCCACACACACACACACGTCTGAGGGTAAAATCAAACATGGGTCCCTGGTGCTGTGAGACAGCAGTGCTAACCACTGAGCCACCGTGCTGCCCCAATGATAATACTTATAGTTTTATTTGAAAACCCCGCTCCAAGGAAATAAGAGGGTGATACAAGTTCCTGCAACAGATTTATTCTGAATTCCAGTGGTCAGATTGAAAAGGTTCTTTTCAACTTGCTATTTGTGGCAATTGTTCATTGTTCAATGACAATACTCCAAGGTTCCATTCTTTGTCTGTAATTGATAAGTCAACCTCAGCCAGGGCAGCAGAGGAATAGTTTCAGTGAGGCAGAGGTACCAGCCGTGGGGAAAATATCCATCAATACTCTCTGTTTAATTTATTTTAGGAAAAGATCATTTCAGTGAGCTGTGAGGAAATTCCATGGACCCCTTCCAATCAAAATTAGACGGATGGGGTGATAATAGACTGGGTTGGATTTGTCTAGCTTTTTTGTGGACAGGGCAGACCTAAGTAATTTTAGATAATGCCAAGCAGAGGTTGATGTTGTAACTGTCCTGGAAAAGCTTGGCTAAGACTGCAGTTATTTCTATAGCACAAATTAGAAACAGGCCAAGATTGAAAGGAAGAAGAATGTGAGAGAGTTGGAAGCAAGAGCCTTTGCAGTATCCAATTGTTTCTTGATACCAAGTAAAGTGAATTGAATTAGTCGAAAATTGGGATCTGTGCTGCTGACCTCAGGAGGAGGCTGAGACATTCCACTTGTAGCTGAATATGAATCATAGAATCCCTACTGTGTGGAGGCAGGCTATTCGGCCTGTCGAGTTCACACTGACCCTCTGAAGAGCATACCACCCAAACCCACCCCCTATCCTATACCTATAACCCTGCATTTCCCATGGCTAATCCACCTAGCCTGCACATCGCTGGATGCTAATGGCAATTTCGCAATGGCTCATCTATCTAACCTGCACATTTTTAGACTGTGGGAGGAAACTGGAGCACCTGGAAGAAACCCACACAGACACAAGGAGAATGTGCAAACACCACACAGTTAGATGCCCAAGGGTGGAATCAAACCCAGGTCCCTGGCAGTAGTGCTAACCAGTGAGCCGCCCATTTGAATACTTCTTCATTGTTTGTTGCACTGAAGTACTAGGCTACCTTATCGTTGAGAATCGGGGTATTTGCCGAACTTTCTCCTCCAGTGAGTTACTAAATTGCCCACCACCATCTACACTGGATGTGGCAGGACTGCAAGGTTAGAACTGATCCACTGGTTTTGGAATCACAGCTCTATCTGTCTGTCACATGTTGCTTCCAAATCTCTCTCATTCTTCCTTTCATTATTGGCCTATTTCCAACTTAGTCTCCATGCAGTAAGATGACATCCAAAATGCTGCTGGATAGGAAATCTTTTGCCCATGGCAAAATATGAGCTTCCTAATCATTCCCACTTTCCCAGCAGCATAGTCTCCATAACACAGCTAATCTCTTCATCTTCTCCTGAACAGTTTTTCCCCTCAATTCCCTTCAATAAAGTCTGATTTGCTGGCTTCCTCCTCATTTTCTGGTTTCACAAGAAAATCTCATTCGTTCTGTTTCACTCCCAATCTCTCAACAGGTCTGTCTTTACCCATTACATCATGGGTTCCCACCTTCGTACTATGACCTTGCCCCCAGCCTCTTTTGGGGAGAAGCCTCATTTGCTTTCTCTCAATACCAGCTCAACAGGATTTCAAGCTGTTTCTCTGTCTCACATGCGTCTCCTTCATACAACATGCTCTCTATCCCTGTAGTTCCCCTAATATTCCTCTATTTCTCCCCTGTTCAGCACCAGGGGTTTCCTCACCATTGTAAATTAATTCAATTAAATATCACAGAAAAATCACATTGCTTGAGTAAACTCCAAGAGATGAAGGAAGTGAAACTTTAGAAGTTCCAACATTTGCTTCACATACAGGAAATTTAACCTTGTCTTGATTTTACTTGAAGCTAGTTTTATTTAGTATGTTCTTTGTTTCACTAGTTGACCAATCAAGATCTAAAGAAAAGCAAAACCAACAAATCAGATGGGAAAGGCAATTTAAAGAATTCTAATTAAGTGTATTTTTTACTGTAATAACAGTAAGCCGTTTGAAGACTAGAAGGTATTATGGTGTTATGATCTTGATATTTACAAGGCTGTGTGTTTGGAGTCCTGAGGGATTGAATTCTGTATAGAACCCAACAGCAATTATTTTACGCCCTCCATTTACTAACTACCTATTTCAAGTAGTCAGAAAACACATTGGAGGAGCAGCATTGGAGGTAGAGAGAGACTGTGACCAGTGCAGGGAGGCAGGGCATCTCATGGGAGTTGGGGTGGGGTGGGGGGGTGCAGTGGGGAATGACTAAAAGGTTTAGTGGGAGGTAGAGTAGAATTGGAGTTCTGGTTATAAGGGTTAAACAGAATAAGGATTGAATGAAAGGGAAGCGGTCAAGGGGCAGGTACGTCCAGGTTAGCTTGTTGGGATAGCAAGGCATTCCTACTCCTCCTGGCCCACAAGGACTGCTGTAGAGTTAGCTACCCACTTAGCTGAAGGAGATGATACTTCACTCCTGCTTTTATCTGCTCAGTTTCTCAAGGTGTATGAACACAGTCATGTGGGAGAAACATTGTTAAGGTGAAGGCCTAGAGTTTCCTTAGAAGGTTCTGATGATGGGTCCACCTTATGTAGGGTAACTGCTGACGAACCCCTCATTCTGCCCCCTTTAGAACCAGAAACTAGTGGGGCTGGGGCAGTTGGATTCTGGTTTCACATTTGTAGCATTGTAATTTGTCACCTATGCCACTAGACTTTGAGATTAAAGTTATTACATTTGTTTTAATATACTCTAGACTTTGACACTACAAAATGTCAGTTGGAGACGTTAGAATCCAATTTGTGGCAATGTTGTTCTCTAGGGAAGTGCTGTGTCTGCAGTTTGTTTACCTCCGTGTGATCAGCGGATGCGGAGACGGAAAGATCCGTATTTTTGACATATTGAACAGTACCTGTCTGAGAGTGATGAGAGCAACTGGCCAAGGAGATCCTGTGCTTTCCCTACATATTTCTGGAAATAGGTACACGTGTAGCAAATTGTTCAAATCTAAATGTGTTACATTGCACTTTGCTAGCTTCAATATACATTTTGGCTCTCAAACAATTAGAAATAGCCCTCTTACAGCACCTTGAAAGAAAGATGATTATTTACATAGCACTTTTCAAGACTACAGGATGTCCCCAAAGCACATTACAGCCAATCAAATACTTTGCAAGTGTAATTACTCTTGTAACATGGGAAATATGGCATGGTATCTGCACAGATTAAGCTCCTACAAATAGCAATGTAATAATGACAACGTAATTTGGGTTTGTTTGCAATGCTGGTTAAAGGACAAGTCTTATTCAGGATCTCTTCTACATCGTCCCATGAGGTCTTTCCCATTCACTTGAGAGGATAGATGGGGGCTTGGTTCAACATCTCATCCAAAAGGCAGCACCCCCTCAGTACTGCACAGGATTGTCAAGCCTGATCATTGTGTCATGTCCTGGAGGGGGACCAGTATGCACAGGCTTCTGAAATTAAAGTCCAAAGTGCAACTGGTTGAGCCACAGCTGATATCTGAAGCTGACCTTGTAGATCAAAAGACAAAGCCCCGCACTCTGTTTTTGCTAAAATCAAGTTTAAACACCTGCATATCTAATAGATGTAGAATAGTTTATTAGAATATTGGATGGAAAGTGAGAAGGAAATTTGACATCTGTTTCCAATCTCCCTTCTGCAAATCTCATGCCAAATGCCATCACCCTAAAGAACAAAGTCAGTCAAACTTGAGCTATTTGATCTTAGTAACCTGTCTTCATTAAAGGCATTAATTGTTTTACTGTAATTCTATTGTGATTTTTAAAATTCACTTTTACCTCCATAGCTTTGCCATTACTTTGGCATTAATTTTTCAAACAGTTGGAATATCCCAACATGTAATTAGTTTAGCAACACTGTAAGCAGCAATATCCTTTAAAAACAGTGACTGATTTTGGGCTAAAATAAATCAAAATATCTGTATATTACACAGAACATAGGAGCAGGAGGAGGCCATTTGGCCCTTCCAACCTGCTCCACCATTCTTCACAATGATGGCTGATCGTCCAACTCAATAGCCTAATCCTGCTTTCTCCCCATAACCTTTGATCTCATTGACCCCAAGTGCTATATCTAGTCGCCTCTTGAATACCTTCAAAGTTTTGGCATCAACTACTTCCTGTGGTAATGAATTCCATAGGCTCACCATTCTTTGGGTGAAGAAATGTCTCCTCATCTTCATTTTAAGTTGTCTACCCTGAATCCTTATACTGTGACTTTTCCATATACAGTTCCCAAATTTAATTCCTCCTACCACATTGCTAAAGAATTTGAAAAATAACCATCAGCAATATTTAAAACCAGTATAAAGTATCACAGTTTTCTGGTGAACAGGCAATTTGATACTAATGTAATATGATTGATTTTTTATCTCCATCATTTGAGTGTTGCATTCTCCAATAACAACCAATAACCTTTAAAATGAGATATGCATTTGCCAGTGATTGAAGGACGCGAGTTCATGTTTAAGACTTTTAATGTAACAATCTAAAATCAACATTATTAAACATGACTTGTAAAGCAACTAACGTATTAAACTATTCACCAAGTAACACAACCAAAAATTGCATAATGTGTTTATGTGTTATGCTACACTTCGGCTGAAATGCAACAGTGTGGAAAGAAATCCAAAACTCCTCTTGGCTTTCCAACAAGATCCCTTCTCCCTGTCACACAAAATTAAGTCTTCTGGGTTTCGTTAAATATACATTCATTCCACCTCCTACTACTGAATAGACTCCCAGCAGCAAGGCACCCTCTGGCAACTCTTTGGTATTTAAATCTATAGAGGTCTTTTCTCTTCACATAGGGAATCCATTCTTATCAGCATTCTGCTTGGAGGTTAACATAAAAATTGTCTTGTCCTCTCCTTAGTGCTGCATCAGCTGTTATCAGGCCCCTCTCCAAATCTCTCTGTAAGTCAGAGCTTTATAGTCTGTACCCAGCAAGATGAGATGTTCCTCTTTGTGTCACAGTGAAAACCATCACCTCAGTTTCCACAGCCTTTCATTTGGGACTGTATCAGGGCAGTGTTTGGTATGTTCATCATCCTCCATTTCAGGACATTGTAGATAAAGGACGCTAGAGATAGGAACCGTGTCAGAGCAGGTTAAAATGCTCCAAAAAGTGAGCAACAGTACAATCCACCAAAAATGACTCCTGCGTTTAACACCCAAATAGCACCCAAATTTTTAGACTTCTGCGCAAGTATATCCATAAATTTTACTCTTTTAATAAAGGTACACATTATAGTTATTGACTAAGGTGCTTATGAAGCCATTCACCATTGCTCTGTCTTGTCCAATTGTGCTTTATTTCATCCAGTGCTGTCACTTGGACATTTGTGTTTAAGAGGTGAATGTCAGTCTTTAGAGCTCAAGGCAAGTGGAGGGTATCCCATCATACTACTGACTTGTACATTGTAGGTGGTGGACTTTGAGGACTCAGGAAGTGTTACTTACTGCAGAATTCCAAGCTGATGACCTGCTGTTGCAGCCACTGCATTTATATGACTGTTCAAGTTAAAAGTCTGGTCAACGGTAATCCCCAAATGTTGATAGTGGAGGATTCAGCCATTGTTGAATATCAAGCAGAGATATCTAGATTTTCCCTTGATGGAAATGGTCATGGCAAGATATTGTATAGCATGAATGGCACATGCCCAAGCCTAAATGTTACCTGGGTTTTGCTGCATGTGGATATGAACCGCTTCAGCGATCAAGGAATTGTGAAGATGCCAGATAATGATCAGTCTGTTAACTGAGCCTTCAGCAGTCTGTGAATTATGCATGGATATTTTCCTAGCCATCCTAGCCAAATTGTGGAGATTTTATAGATAAAATGTATTACTTTGTCTCTTTAAGATGATCACAGATTATTTTGTTGTGTTATCTAGGATGGTGATAAACACAGTGTCCAATGTGGTGAAATTTCAGTTTGAAGATATTGTATGGGATTACACAGCACCAGCAGCACTCCTTGAAGTGATAGCACCACAGGACAAATTTAAAATGGCACCACTGAGGAAACAGCCGTACAGTTATGTCCGTGCTCAGCGGATGAGAAGAATTGGTTCAACCAATGAAAAGATCTACCATAGACAGGAGAAGTTTTCAAAAGATGGTCTGTTCCACCATGCACGGTTCTTGTCAGCCAGATGCATGAAAGCAGCACAGAGTAAGTAATTGCAAAAGATTCTAAGATAGTTGTTTCCATAACACTAAATATATTTCTTTATAACATATCTTCAGCAGTGGTATTTGTGGTGGTGGCTCAGGTGCTTTTTGTTTACTTGGATTTCAGTTACATGAACGTCTAACTTTTTTTTCAAAAGCCACAAAGTCACTTTGATCAGCCTCCAGTGAATTTGTTCTCTGTCTACCCTCCATGGTAAACAAAAAGAAAAACTAAAACTTATGATCTGTCAAATCAAGTTTTGTTCTGGAATCTGACTTGACCAGTGATGCCATTAGTTGGAAACACAACAGATTAGATTGCTTTGACTTCCAGTGCACCAGAAGCAGAACATAGACAAGCTGTAGAAACAGTTTGAATGTTGTGTATAATTTGACGTTAAAGACATTCTGTGTCAATACTATCTTCTTTTCTGTTACTCTTTGGTAGGGATTCAATCAGACTCCATGAAAGCTCTCAACTTGAGGGAATCCCAATTTCGACATCACAGTGCACCGCACATTAGCCTGCAGTCAGGATTCCTTTTGAAGCCACTCTCAGCGTACGTGAGCAGTTCAGAAATGCTCACACAAGAACGTTTAAGACAGGATGCAGAATCCAGAATTTTGTATAGTGAGTTCTCATAGAAGAGGCTTCATTCTGTTGATACTTTTCTGCTTGTTCTGAAAATTATACATAAATTATTGTGCATTTTGATTCAAATACATTTTAACTGCATGTATTAAAAAAAAATGTTGTGTCGGTTGCCGTGACAACCTGCTCCCCATCTCTCATCTTGAATAGGGGGCTGTCACTCATTCTCGGATTCATCCTTATTTGAAATGTATCATTCGAGATTCTAAAAGGTGGGAAAGGGTTTACTTCATTTTATTATTGTAGACCTTGCACATTGTTTTACAAAGATCTGAGAAAAAGGAGTACTTGTGGCTTTATTGGGAATACAGGATTTATAGATTGAGGTTGGGAAAGCTAGGATGGAAGAAGTGAATTTGTATGTTTCATAGTTGATCTTTTTTTGTATTCACTCGTGGATATGGACATTGCTGGCTGGCCAGCATTTACTACCCGTTCCCAGTTATCCTTGAGAAAGCAGTGATGAACTGCCTTCTTGAACTGCTGCAGTCCACATGCTATAGGTTGACTCACAATACCCTTAAAGATGGAATTCCAGGATTTTGACCTAGCGGCAATGAATGAATGATGATATATTTCCATGTCAGGTTGCTCAGTGGCTTGGAATGGATCTTGCAGATGGTGGTGTTTCTGCTGCTATTGTCTTTCTAGATGGAAGTGTTCATGGGTTTGAAAGGTGCTTTCTGGGGAGCTTGGGTGAATTTTTGGAGTGCATTTTGTAGATAGTGCACACTGCTGAGACTGAGTGTCAGTGATGGAGGGAGTGGATGCTTGTGGATGTAGTGCCAATCAAGCAGGCTACTTTGACCTGGATGGTGTCAAGATTATTAAGTGTTGTAGGATCTACACTCATCTAGGCAAGTGGGGAGTATTCCATCATACTTGACTTGTTCCTTGGAGATGGTGGACAAGCTTTGGGCAGTCAGGAGGTGAGTCAGTTGCTGCAGTATTCCTAGCCTCTGACCGACTTTTGTAGCTGTTGCGTTTATATGGCGAGTCCAGTTAAGCTTCTGGTCATTAGTAACCCCAAGGATGTTGCTAGTGGAAGATTCAGTGATGGTAACATAATTGAATGTCAAGGGGCAGTGGTTAGATTGTCTCTTATTGAAGTTGTCACTGCTTGGTATGTGTGTGGCGCGAATGTTACTTGCCATTTGTCAGCCCATGCCGGGATATTGTCCAGATCTTATTGCATTTCAAAATGGACTGCTTCAGTATCTGAGGAGCCACGAATGGTGTTGAACATTGTGCAATCATTGGTGAACATCCCCACTTCTGACCTTACGATTAAGGGGAGGTCATCAATGAAACAGCTGAAGTTGGTTCAGCCTGTAACACTACCCTGAGGAACACTGCAGAGATGTCCTGAAGCTGAGGTGACTGACTTCCAACAACCACCATCATTTTCTTATGTGCAAAGTATGACTCCAATCATTGGACTGTTTGCTGCTGATACTCAGTTTTGCTAGGGTTCCTTGATGCCACACTTGGTCAAATATGGTCTTGATGTCAAGGGCTGTCACTCTCACCTCACATCTGGATTAGTAAGAATGAGGTCAAATATAGTTTTCCCACTTGTTGGTTCCCTCACCACTTGCCACAGACCCAGTCTAGCAGCTATGTCTTTGAGGATCGAACAACTCAATCAGCAGCTGAGCCACTTTTGCTGGTAGATATTGAAATCCACCACCCACATTTTGTTCCCTTGCCACCCTCAGTGCTTCCTCCCAGTGTGCTTCAACACGGAGGAGTACTGATTCATCAGCTGAGGGAGGACAGTACTTGATAATCAGCAGGAGTTACCTATGTTTGACCTGAAGTCATAAGACATCATGGTGCCCAGACTCAACATTGAGGACTCCAGGGCAACTCCCTCCTGACTGTATATCACTCTGCCCCCACCTCTGCTGGACATATCTAGGGTCAGTGATGGTGGTGTCTGGAACATTATGTGTAAGGTATGATTCTTTGAGTATTACTATGTCAGGTTGTTGCTTTACCAGTCTGTGAGACAGCTCTCCCAATTTTGGCACTCGCCTGAAGACGTTAGAAAGGAGGACTTTGCAGGATCGACAGGGTTGTTTTTGCATTTGTCCTTTCTGCTGCCTAGGATTATGCCAAGTGGGTTGTCTAGTTTCATTTCTTTGTTGAGACATTGTTGCAATTGATACAAGTGAGTTGCTTGCTGGGCCATTTCAGAGGGCAAGTAAGAGTCAACCAAATTGCTGTGGGTCTAGAGTCATATCAAGGCCAATCCAGTTGAAGATTTCCTTCCCTGAAGAACGTTAGTGAACCAATTGGGTTTTTCTGACAATCGACAATGGATTCATGGTCATCAGTAGATTCTGAAGTTTCCAGATTTTTTTTGGAATTCAAATTCCACCATTTGCTGTGCCAGGATTTGAACCTGAGAACATAGGCCGAGTTTCTGGATTAAAAGTCTAGTGATAATACTACTTGGGCTATTGCCTTCCCTTTTAACATTTTTAAGCATTTAACATTTTGATCAGCTTGCTGCTGACTTTGTTCATTAGGATGGAGTGTGTATCCTCTCAGGGCCAGACACTACAGTGTGAATGACAGGTTTTTTTTCAACAGGATAACAACCTTGTGCGAGACTTAAGTAATGTGGGTGGAGGAGGGGTGTTATTGGATGCAAGGCATGTTGGAGATTAGCTGACATTCAATTGTATACTTTGATTTCAGTTAAACTGGTGTTTTGAGGGGCTGAATGGGCGTATGAAGTTAGATACAGAGTCCTAGTATGATCTTTCATACCTGATAAGAAGTGCTCTTGATCAGAACAACTCGAGGATAATTTCTGAACTTCCCTGCCAGGTTTGCTTGTTCTGGCCATTAGGCTCTCTGTTGGTCTGTTTAGCTGTCACTGAAGTAGCGAGCAGAACTTTAAACCTCTCAATTTATTGTATGACTGAGTGATTCTCCCTTTAGCCATTGCAGGGCTAGAGGATGCAAGTTAACCTCTTTCTGTTTGCCAGTTAATTGAATTAGAACAAATTTCATTCTTGGATTTCTGTTACCTAGTTTTTCCTTTGTGGTTGTGGCTTTGGTTTTGTGTAGGGATACAGATTGCTATATTCCCTAGACCCATTCTGATGGCGCTATACCTGTTTTTAACAGAAGCAGGCTACAATATCAGAATAAAACAGTTTTACGAGCACACAACAGCTCTTTCTTGGTTTGAGCTTTGCCAAGGTCATATCTTTGAATGAAGTCCTCGATGCCTTGGATGTGTCCTGATCAGTGTTAGGTCAGGATTATTGAGGGCCAGGTTGAAGCAAATTGATCTTTTATTTCACTACTAAGGGATATCAATTCTAAATAAAATGATGGAGCCCTCAGCCACATGAACTTTTTTTTTTATAAAAGACGGGGTGCTTGTATGAGGGGAAGCAAGTGAGTTATTGTTATAGAATGGTAAAATTTAGAGTGGGGACAAATAGGAAGTGTTTTGGCTTCTTTAGTGCCTACACTGAGTGAAGGAACAACTGGAACATGTGGCTAGAGAGTGTATGCTGACAGTTTAGAATTCACACATTGACTCAGATTTTTGGCAGCTTAATGCTATTAACCTGAAGCCGCATATGTTACATAAACACGTACAAAGTTAGGTTCCCAGTCAGCTGAACGTGCCACAGTGGCAATATAATGACTAGAATTGCCTTTAAACTTCTAATTAAAGGAAGATACAGTGATGTGTTTGTTCCTGGTCACTGACCAGGACTTGTCAGACACTCCCACTCAGGCAAATACCCAGGACATCCAGACCCTAGAATTTAAAGATATCACCTTGGCAAAGATCAAACCTAGAAAAAGTATGGATGGATAAAACTACTTGATTTCAATGTTATAACTTGCTTCTGTGAGCTATCAGCTTAGTTGTACCTTTGAAGATGGATCCTGCCAGCTGATTATATTTCTGTTTGAAGGTTACAAGTAGGATTGAGAAGTTGTCCTATCAGTATTTCAGTCTGATCCCAACATGCATTTCAAGTTTTAGTCATTCTAGTGCTGGCAGTGTTGGTATTGATCTTTTAGAGCTTGATTCCAGATATTTTCTAATCAATCTGTTCAGAGATGATATTATACATTTCTTGAGTGAGATTCGAACCCAGCCTTCTGGTTCAAAAATAGGGTCACAACACAGTGCCACGAGAGCCCCAAGAGTTGTGATTCCATTCTTTTGACATGTTTTTGTTTCAGCTGTTCTAGAAAAGTTTTAAGTTAGTAGACAATTAAAATTCCTTGTCTAGGTTGATTCTCTTAATATCACCTCAAAAGAAATCCCCTGTGAGCCTTAGTAATGAACATCATCATTGTAAGTGAACCTGATCCTGTTAGCACTACAAATCCAATTCCAGCAGGCAATCAGTGACCAAGAACTGAAAGAACACTGATTTTCCCTTTCCCTTTAACTGGGAATTTAAAGACAACTGCAGCACTTAGACTGCTGTTCAGACTTAGTCAGCATACACTGGGGAACGACTGTGCTTGAGTTTGTGTAATATTAAAAGAACTGAGACAACTTCAGCTCAACAGCATGAAGCAAGACCTTGACAACATCCAGGTTTGGGCTTATAAGTAACATTCTTGCCTCGGAAGTGCCAAGGACTGACAATCTCCAACTCCCATGGCTGCTCTGGGGCCTGCTGCAGGCTGAGCAGTGGCCACTGCTCCTGATGCCAGGACTGGGACTGATGAACTCCTGGACCTCTGACTGGCTGGCATCTAACTGAGGTGGGACATCCTACCTTAGAAGGGCAAAAGCCCTGACCATAGGCAATTAATTACCCAGGGTTCATCAAAATCCAGGGCTGCTATAACTTTGTGGAGGTTGGGAGGGACTTGTATCACGCTGGAAATCCCAGCCAGAGAGATCACTGGGTTTGGATTACTGCTCATCCAAGTGTAACAGGATTGTGCTATTTTCAGTTACCCTAATTTCTCTCTAATCAGAAAAAGGCACTAATGTACCACACACAATCATCTAACTTACTTTTGATCTTTTTACAGGTGAAAGGTCCGAGTCATTGTCTGCAGTTTCTAGATTTTTGTCAGCGAGTGAGCAGGACTCATTAAAGCACATTAGAAGACATAGGCTCTACAAACCCAAAACTGCAGAGCAGATTTATTTGACTGTCAATGCTATCCACAATTACCTCAAATTTGACGAAACGTCAATAAACACTCTTTACAACAATTCACTTTCAGAAGATTGGGGTCGACTTCTTTGTCCTTTTGAAGACACAGTGAAAAAGGGAAGTGATAGAGCAAAGAAGAAGGCTACTGTCAAAATCAGCGATGTTGTTGATGCTGTTGGACTAACTGATGACTGCATTGATGCCAAAACACTTACGGCACCTTTTGAGTTGAAAATGCAAAAACTTAAAGGGAAAGACAAATTAAGTGGTTTGGACACGAAATGTTTTGTAACAAAACCAATGATAAAACGATCAAAATCAGCAGTAAGCTTTGTGGATGCTGTCAAATTTAGAGGCGCAAAGTGTCGACCCCAATCTGCACTTGAAGAAATCAATAAGAGCATGATCTCTCAGACAACAGATTCCAAAGCTGGATCTCAAGCCAAAGTCTTCGCACTTACAGATTCTGCAACTGCCACTACAGATCCCAGATTCAAGGTGCAGTATATAGTTGACTTAAATCCATATCGAAACAACAGTGGCTTCAGTCTTTGGACAATGAAACAACAAAAGGAATATGCAGAAAAAATTGCGATGGATCATAATGCTCAACAGCAAAGAAAAGAACAAGAAACACCCACAGCTAGACAAAAGGCTTCATTAAAGAAAGCTGAAAGGTCTTAAGTTGGTCTTAATTTGCATAAATTAATTGGTGAAATCTCATGTTAAAAGTGGTTCATATGTAGTAATATATTGAGTAATGGTAATAAATATTTTGCCTGCTGTACAAGTAATTACACACGTTTGTATGTGTCAACACTACGTTTTAAGGTACAATCTGAATAAGATGTATTAGTTATCATATCAAAGGGGTTAGTTCAGCAGAACAAGTTATGCTGCATTGGCGATACTGAAGGATTGATTATACCAGGTTACAGTTTTGTTTAGCTCAATTGGTTAGGCTGTGATGTAGTACCATATCAGTGATATGGGTTCAATCCCTATATCAGCTGTATAATGCATGGATTCCGACTTCCTCATTTTGATCCAGCTCGTTTAATGTGGAGTGGTATCCCTCAAGCTATGTAATCAATTGTATCTCATGTGAGGAAGTTCAATTCATTTAGCTTTGCTACTGAGACCAATATGTAGATATGAATGGACAGAAGTAGAAGGTTATGCATATTGAAATGCTAATGAAATAAACACAATGAAGGAATCCTATATAGGAAAAGCAATTGAGGGCATACCGGGATTTGAACTGCTGTTGATCTCTGGCTTTTTCCAAGTTAGGAACATGCCAAATCTGCAGCTATTCAGAGACATCATATATTGAAAAAAAACACATTGGATGCAATCTTGCTAGCCCATGTGGAATTTTAGATGGGTGGATGGGGAAACTTAATTAACTGAGCGGCAACATAAATGAGATTTTCAACAGCAAGTTAAAGTTTGGTATTAAGTTCTCGGAACCTTTCAGGGGTTGGGCATGTCGGGTTTCCCAAAAAACTTGCATTTATTAGCATGCCATGGTCACTCATTAGCAGAAATCCATTGGGATTACATCTATGGGAGCAATCTTGTTAGGCAAAAATAAGAAACAAGTATGTTCACAAACGCAACTACTGTACATAGTGTGTACCCCGTAGGATAGACTTCTTCCTCTAAGCTCCAGTGAGTTTAAATTTCTTCACTACCATGGCTGCTCTTTCATTACCAAGATGATAGTTTGCACCAATGCGTGCATTGTAAAGAGTGAAGCCTGACCTGGTCAACCAGCTCTTCAGAAGTCTCAATCATGTTCAGTTATGCTTATAGTTCTTAAATACTTTCAGTGTAAAGGGTGAGCCCTGACTGGGCCAATGAGCCTGCCCTAGTGCAGCACTCACACTGGCTGACACCTGCAGATCTTACAGTGTCAGACAAGCAGGACTTAACTCAAAGATGAGCTGAATACAAAAAGGAGGTGAACTCGAAAGGTTTAGACAAAGGCAATTAGGTAGAACGGGATAGTATGGGATGGAACTGAAAAGACATGGTTGTTGGATGCACTTTTCTTAGAATGCTCCTTGTATAGGATGTCCTTTAAAATGCTGTCAGAAGTCACACGACTTCAGGTTATAGTCCAACAGGTTCATTTGAAATTACAAGCTTACGGAGCACTGCTCCTTTGTCATGTGAAGTCTTCGAAGTGCTCTGAAAGCTCGTGATTTTAAATAAACCTGTTGGACTATAACCTGGCATTGTGTGACTTCTGACCTTGTCCACACCTGTACAACACTGGCAACTCCACAACTTTAGAATACTGAATTAATACAGCCCCAAAATAAATAAAATTAAATAAACAGCTTCTACTATCATTTCAACAGCTAAGGCATATTAACAACCCCTCTTATTTACTTGGCTTCAAAATTATTCTTAACCATTTTTTCACACCAAGAATATGATAAACTTTTTGGCACTAGGGTAGGCACCTGGAACACTGACATGTGAAGCATTGCTAAAAAGGACGATCTTCATAATTTCTCGGTTACCCAATTGCGGGAACTTGTACATGCACTCTTCTGAATTTGATGTCTTTAGTATTTTATTTATTTTCAATACTTCCTTGAAAGTTGCATGTTTCATGATAGTACTCAATTCCAACAGGTCATAACTGGCATTGGGTCTAGTTGAGTGCACATGCAGTTTAACAATCCAATTAAGCTTCTTAACTGGTCTGTTTGTTACTTCAGAACAAAGCATTTTTTTTCCAAGGATGTGGCCCAATTTATCAGGATGTGATTAACACTTTCCAAGTAAGAGTGTTCATTCAAAGTCACTCCTGACTTATTCTGTTTCATGTCTAACCCTATACGTTTAAAAAGTCCATGAAGCCCAAGTTCCACTTTTAAATTCCCTTATTTTATCCAACACACATGCTCAAATTCCATAGAACCTCCTGTTGTCTGTTGCCCTTGCCAATCAATGCTAGTGAACACAATGATTGCAGCTTGTACTTTTACTGCAATCTACTTCTTTATTTATCGCTCAGTCAGTTTATCTCTATAGCATAAAACTGCATCAGGTTACAAATAAAGCTGCCTCAGACTCACTATTGAGACGTGTTGGTGAGCAATAGCTTCATCAGAATAGAACATAGAACAGTACAGCACAGTACAAACTAAGTTTTGGCCACTCAGCTGGATCTGTCCTACTTCTCTGAACTCTAAACTCAGGGTTCTGCTTCTGTGATAGTTGTCCCTAAGTTACACTGCCAATGTCTTCAAAACACTTATTTTTATACATTTTCTCTTAAAAGTTCCAGGAAATTTGATTCGCACCCAGGACCCTTGTGACTCTAAGATTCATATAGACAAGGTACATTTGCTTCATTGTCCTCCTTTCTGTCTTTAATAGCCTTGATAACCATGATGATCAAGCAGCTTTAAGCAAGCCCTTATCACCAGATTCCTGTTTAACTAGCAGTGTCTGGTTCTGCCTTGCAACATAGGTTATTGTTCCTGTGAAGTTGGCCATTTTATTCCCATCATCCTTGTAGAGACCTAGCTGTTAACCATTCTGTTACAGTCTAAGAATTAAGATGCAGCCAATTAACTACATTTGCTAGAAAAAAAAAATTAATGGCATGCATCAAAGAGATCCCTGCCTGTTTCTCTTTGTGACACCAGTAGGCATTACAGGATCTGCTTTAAGCTGAATGCAATCTACTTTCAGCAAGACGGACCTAATCAGAAATACTAAATTCTCGATGCACCATTTATTTATTTAACTTCCATAGATTCCCATTTCTATCACCTGCTTCATTAGGTGGTTTCAAACATACTTCCCTTTTTCACCCTAAAGAAGTGCAACTTTTATATCAATTGACTAACTTGGAGTAATGTTGCTAAAATAGCTAAGAAGATATTCAAGATCACTTCCCGACAGGAAGGAAACCCACTTTAAAATCTTGATCACCAAGGTTCTCTTCAAAATCCTGCGCCAGTAGTATGGTTTAACTTTACATGACCTTTCTGTGCATATCATTTATATAAATATTTCAATATTTGTATTTGCCAGTGACTTTCCATGGTCTGCCTACGGTGGTATCATTCTTCCATTCACTGGTCCTTACAAGTAGAAATATTATTTTGGTGCAAACATTCAGTTCTTCCTCTCAAGTAAAAAGCTTTGACTTGTGTTTGTGTCACTTTGACCATTTTCAGCCACTCCTTTGCCTGCCATAATCTGGCCCTCCTAATTGTCCGATCTATAGGAATGTGAAGTGTATGGTACTCGTTACTTTCTATAATTTGGTCACATTTTGTAAATATATAATCATGCCAATTAACCTTGAGGAATGCACCCTAACTGTTTGGATGCCATACTGTAAAAATTCAGTTTTTCACCATTACCTATATGAACATTTCCACTGTTGTTGACTTTCCCTTTTGTAATATACCATATCCCTGGACCAAAATTTATTTTTAACATCCTTATATGATGCAAGGCTTACTGAATTTTTCTTTGATACCTTAAGACTTAATGAATGCCTTTTTCTCCTGCATTCAGAACATTTATTGACCAGACTCCAGGCATTCCTAGGCTTTATCTTTGTTAAAGATCCCCAATTCCTATTGTCTAATACAATGCCCAGACATACCTCTATCTTCAGAGATAATAAGAACTGCAGATGCTAGAGTCAGAAATAACACAATGTGGGGCTGGAGGAACACAGCAGGCCAGGCAGCATCAGAGAAGCAGGAAAGTTGACGTTTCGGGTCGGGACCTTTCTTCAGAAATGGGGAGGGGGAAGGGAGCACAGAAATATATAGAGAGAACAGGGGCGTACTGGGGAAGGTAGGTGGGATGGTAATAGGTGAGTGCAGGCAGGGAGTGATCAGTGAGGTGGGAGGGGCAGATAGGTGGGAGAGAAGGTGGACAGGTTGTGTCAGGTCAAGGTGGTGGGGATGAGAGGGAGGGTTGGTCATGGGATGACATGTGATACTGGAGGAGGCCCAGGATGCACAATGATGCCACCCACAAACCGGAGGAGCAGCACCTCAGATTCCACCTCGGGAGCCTACAGCCCAATGGCCTAAATATGGATTTTACCAGTTTCAAAATCTCCCCACCTTTGGCCTCATCCCATGACCAACCCTCCCTCTCATTCCCGCCTCCTCGATCTGACACAACTGTCCATCTTCTCTCCCACCTATCCGCCCCTCCCACCTCACTGATCAATACACACCACTCCCTACTTGCACTCACCTATCACCATTCCACCTACCTTCCCCAGCACCCCCCCTCTATTTATTTCTGAGTTCCCTTCCCCCTCCCCATTTCTGAAGAAGGATCCCGACCCGAAATGTCAACTTTCCTGCTCCTCTGATGCTGCATGACCTGCTGTGTTCCTCCAGCTCCACGCAGTGGTATCTCTATCCTCACTCCTCTTACTTATGATTCCCCTTTCCTGTTTCACTTTTTAAGCCCATATCTAAGCAACCTAGCATTGCTGCTAGAATTGAATCATCCATTCTTTGTGTTATTTCTGAATGTCCCATTAAGCTATGAAGGCCACTGAGAATGACTGTTTACCCAAGAATTTTTAAAGTCTTTGACAACTGTTCCCAAAGTATATTTCTTTCTGAAAAGGTAACTCCAATTAGTACAAGGAACCTATTCATGTTCAACACCTTAGCACAGTCCAGCAATTGAAAAGTAAGCACTCAATTAGAATCTCTAAGTAGAATTCTTGCAAACTTGCATTGTCTTCTATAAAATATTCATTCTGTTTTCTAAGTTTATCAAAACCTGAGCAAACCTCATATATACTTAACAGGTTAACTTTCTTCTAAACTTTGTACATAAATGTAAATAGAATGTCCAAATCATCCTCAGCAATGTTCCCAGCCGCTCTGACAGATTCAGTACAGACAATGCATGACACTATTCCCAGCATTGACGAGGGACCTGAGGAGCAACTTGTTCATGCAGAGGGTGGTGTGTGTATGGAACAAGCTGCCAGAGGAGCTGGTGAAGGTGGGTACAATTACAGCATTTAAAAGGCATCTGAATGTGTACATGAAAAGGAAGGGTATAGAGGAGCATGGGCATGGGCCAAATGCTGGCAAATGGGACATCTGGTCAGCATGGACAAGTTAGACCAAAGGGTCTGTTTCTGTGCTGTATAACTCTGACTTCTAGTTTTGGAAGTCACTGCAAGGCATGGACTTCAAAGATTCGCACAGAAGAACAATTTAGAGGGAACATAGTTCCTCAGTGTCCAGTTGTTGAGCCTCCAGCTTTGAAAATACCTTTCACCTGATCTTACTTCTGGTAGAAAGTGACAGTACCATAGCCATACCTTGCTTTTCTCTTGACGAAGATGTAAGCTGTACTTCATTCTTTCATTGGCATAATGTTCAGCTTCACTAAAGCCATACAATTCATTAAGACACTGGTCCCAATAAGGGAGCTCAATCCACTGGCACAGTTCACTCTTTCCAAAATACTGATGCTAACGTCCCATGAATTGGAACTCATTTCTCCCACATCAATTTTTCAGCCATGTATTTATCCCTCTAGTCTTAAACGCAAGGCCAATTTACACATGGCTCAAGCAGTAATCTGGAGACTTCTCATTGTGGTTCTGCCATTTAATTTTGCTCATAATCCTTTAGCAGAATCTCTTTCATAGTTCTACCAAGCTGTTGGTGTCTATGTGGACCATAAGACTTGGATCTTTTTCCTCATACTCCAAGTCCCGCTCCAGCCCGGAACAGTTGTCCTTAACCTTGGCACTAGGTAGACAACAACCATCAGGACAAACAAGAGGCTGAAGAACACAGCAGGCCAGGCAACATCTGAAAGAAAGGAGCAGTCAACGTTTGAGGTAGGAAAAAGGGTTATCCCTGATACATTGACTGCTCCTTTCCTGCAGACGCTGCCTGACCTGATGTTCTTCCAGCCTCCTGTTTGTCTACCTTGGATTCCAGAATCTGCAGTTATTTTGTCTCTAACAACCTTTGGGACTCTGTCTTTGCTGTTTGAGAAGTTGGCGTCCCAACTTTCTCTTTCGCACTGTTTCAGAAGCTGCTGTCCCTGCTCTCTCTCGATCTGTTTCGCACACTGTTGTTCATGTTCTCTCTCATGCTGTTTCAGAAGCTATTGTCCCTTTTCTCTCCCAGTATTTATGACACTGCTGCACCCGCTCTCTCACGCTGTTTCAGAGGCTGCTGGCGCTGCTCTCCTGCCTTTTATGAAATTCATTATATTCATTACCTTGAGGCCATTTCTCTGCCTGTTGAACACAATGAAACTGGGTCTGTATGAACGAGTTGGACCGTGCTGCCTGACTTTGACTCTATCCAACAATATACAAGGCTGTGATAACAAGGTGTACAGCTGGATGAACACAGCAGGCCAAGCAGCATCAGAGGAGCAAGAAGGCTGACGTTTCGGGCCTAGACCCTTCTTCAGAAACTTGGGTCTAGGTCCGAAACGTCAGCCTTCCTGCTTCTCTGATGCTGCTGGGCCTGCTGTGTTCATCCAGCTCTACACCTTGTTATCTCGGATTCTCCAGCATCGGCAGTTCCTACTAGCTCTGAAACAATGAACACAGTAGGCCAAGCAGCATCATAGGAGCAGAATGGCTGACGTTTCGGGCCTAGACCCACAAGGCTCACTGAATGTCTAGTGCCACACTGAGCCACATCCCCATCTCCGAGCCATGAGCCTGTTAAAGTCTCACCATAAAGAGAGATTCCCAATGTGATGAACAGAACACAGTGACTGGGTTCAGACACCTTCAGTGAAGTGTGACTCAACGCCAACAACATTAGATATTATCCTGAAACGAGCTGCAGGAGTCGCTCGCTCGCGCACTCACCACCTACCACGCCTGCGCACTGGCCTCTGTCCGCTCAGGCGCAGCGCAGCCACCTAAACCCGGGGGGGAGGGGCGGGACCTGAATGGTAAACAAGGGTCACGTGGTCCGGAAGTTGTTGTCAATGGCGGAGGAGAGAGAAGGATGATGCGGCAGGTGCGGGGGGAGAGAAAGAAACACGCAGACAGACAGAGGGAGGGATTGATAGAGAGAAAGGGGAAGGAGAAAGGGATTGATAGAAAGAAACATACGGACAGACATTGATAGAAAGACAGAGCGGGGGGAAGGATAGATAGACGGGAGGGGAGAGAGCGAGGGGGTGAGAGTGGAGTGCTGTGCTGTGGGGATGGGGAAAGGAGACGAGGATAAACTGACAGGGTGGAGAGAGGGTAGGAAGTTGGGGGGAAGAGAGATAAAGCGAGAAGGATAATGGTAGAGGAGGAAGATAGAGTGACAGGGTGGAGAGGAGAGGGATGTGGATAGAGGGTGGAAAGGGATGTGAGAGGGGGTCCTGGGGGTACAGAGACTGCCTATCTCACCTCCCTAGGGCCCTGACCCCTGTCGCCTCCCTGGGTCTGGAACCCTGACCACCCCCCCCCCCCACCTCTAAAGGGCACTGACGAATGACACCCTTAACTCCCACCCTCTTGCTTCACTCACTCACTCACTTCTGTCTATCTATCTTTGCCCTCCTGCAGGAATCCAGTGACGAGGCGGAAGATGTTTCACTTTTTGATGCTGATGATGAAGGACAGAGAAAATCCAAAAGGAAGAGGATCCGGTAATACTGATGGGGTGGGATTCTGCAGTCCACATTTGGGTCAGTGGATTTGCAACAACCTTAGTGTCTGCTTCTTGGATATCATTATCATTGTCATTGACCTGTCTTCACCATGAGAGATAGGAACAGGAGCAGGCTGTTCAGCCCGTCAGCCCGTTCCATCATTCATAACAGATCCAACATTCCTCATGTCTGTTTTCCTGCCCTTTCCCCATAATCTCTGATTCCCTTACTGATCAAGATTGTTCTGAAAGCAGCCTGGTTAAGTGAAAAAGTTCACAATATAAAACTTTTTGTGTTTGATACCACAGCAAGAAACTTTAATGTTTGCCCTGCTCAGTGCCAGAAAATGCACCTACTTCCTCCTTTATTGTATTATCAGAGCAAAGAGCAATTTGCCAAGTCAATATCTGATTTAAATATGTATATTTTATATTCATCAAATATATTAGAAACATAATTTTCCAGGGAACATAACAGAAACTAATACTGATTTTTAATAATTGGCCCTGTGTGGGGCACAGTTTTGCTTAGGGGAGTAAAAGTCATGCATATTTTTGCTGAAGCTGTAAATTTTCTCATTGTTCATTCTGGACTGTTTTATTGCGTTATTATTCATTGTCAATGTATAGTTAATTTATCAAACTTTGTGTATAGCCTCTTCATCGGAATATGTTAGTTTCGACTTCTAAATGTCAAGCTTTCCAAAATATCTTTTTTTGTATGTATCATAAGGTAACAAGTGGGGTGTTCGCTAATTGTGCAATGTTTAGCCTGTCTATTAAATGCTGCTTCTGTTCTTTGACATATAAGTTGCGCTGTGTTGTAGGTTCATCAGGTTTTAGGTATGCCTGCTGCTGCTCCTGATCTGTCCTCCTGTACTGTTCATTCAACCAAGGGTTGATTCTCCCAGCTTGATGGTAATGGTAGAGTGTGGGATATGTTGGGCCATGACGTTGCAGGTTGTAGTTAAGTATAACTGAGGCTGTTAATAGCCCCTAGTGTTCTATGGATGCCTAGTTGCTACAGCTATTCCTAAATCTATTCCATTCAGTACAGTGGTAGTGCCACATGACCTAAGTTTAACATGGGACTTCTGTCTCCACAAGGACAGTCAGGTAGTCACTTTCACCAATATTATTATGGGCAGATGCATCTGTAGCATGTAGATAGGTGAGGATAAGGTCAATTGTTGGTTCCCTTGCAACCTGTCACAGTCTAGCAGCCATGCCCTTTAAAACTCAGCCGGCTTGGTCATTAGTGGCACTTCTGAGTAACTCTTCATTATGAACATTGAAGTCCCTTGCTCATGGTAGGCTCTGCACCCATGCCACCTCATGCTCTGTCCATGGAGGAGTACTGATTCATCAGTCAGTAGAAATGAGCAGGAGGGTGTTCCCTTGCCCATGTTTGACTTAATGCTGTGAGATTTCTTGGGATCTGGAGTCAATGTTAAGGATTCCCAGACAAGTCCATCCTGACTTTATACCATTGTGTCACCACCTCTGTTGGGTCTGTCTTGCCAATGGCCTGGGCCATATTCGGGGTAGTGATGCCCATGACAGTGTAAGGTATGATTCCATGAAAATAGCTGTCAGGCTGTTGCTTGACTAACCTGTGAGGCAGTTCTTCTGGTTTTGGCTCTGGACCCCAGGTGTTGTTAAAGAGGACCTTGCAGGGTTGACAGGGCTGTGTATGCCTTTGCCATATCCAATGCCTATGTTGAATTTAGATGCTTCCTTAATAGCTCTCCTATAGTGGTTTGATACAACTGAGTGTCCATTTCAGAGGGCTATGGTATGGAGCCACAAGAAGGCCATACCAAGTAAGGACAGATTGTCTTTTCACACAGATATTAGTGAGCTAGAAGAGTTTTAATGACAAACATTAAAAGCTTCATGGTCATGATCACTGGATCTGGCCTTTAGTTTAAGATTTATTAATTGAATTTAAATTCCAACCATGTCCTCAGAGCTTCAACCTTGGCCTCTGAACTGCTAGTCAGTGACATTGCTGCCATCCCATTGCACCGCCGCCCCCCACCCACAAGCCCCATACCTGAACATGTTTTGTTACTTTTGTCTTTGGTTACCTTCCAATGTACTTTGTCAACAAAACCTTAATTGTTTCTGCTTAAACTTGTCCTTGGCTCTCATTAGTTTGGCTTGTGTGATCAGACATTGGCAATTTTGCATGTGCAAAGTCATGAAATTTTGACTCAGCTTCAAAATGTAGTTGCTAAATAAATATTTAAATAAAGTTTATTGTCATGCTTTTGAATTCTTAGAAGTTTCCTATCACAAACTGCTTGTTGCGGATAACTCTAAGCTTGTAGTTCTATCTATTCGGAATGAGGCGAGTTCAGTTGTTGCTTTTTGGCAGCGCTGGATCATGGAATCACCCCAATGTCTGATTTCAGAATGGGAAGGCTGCAGAAATTTCTGAGGTTACCTTTGGTCAATCATTAATTTAAAGACGACTGTTGAGACTTTGCATTGCTCACTGTTGTGAGAGAACACAATCTAATGCCAGAACAAAATAGAGTGAGCTTCTTTGGAGGAAGGAATCTGCTTTTCCTTTGCTGTGGAATTGGGTCAAGATTTTTATCCTCCAAACTTTGCTGCAAAATTCTTCAGCCTTTGTTATTTATATTGAACTTTATGTGAAAGTGCGTGCAAAGTGGTTATTATTGTATTCTTAAACAATCAAAGTAGTGAAAATCTTCCTTGCATAATATCACTTTAAATGCAATGAACTTTCTCAAGTTGAACAATATTATAAATATTCTGCTTTACTTATAGTAGACTGGAGAAATTTCTCAGCAAACTTGCTCTGTCAAAAAGTGAAACTATGTTTGTTTGACTTGCAATACATAAGGCTTCAACACAATGTGAAAGAAGACTTTTCACTCAGAGCAGTGGATGTTTTCTAGAGATTAAGGGCTGCTGTTTAAGGTCCAAATGTGCAAAGATTGGAGTTGTTTGATAGGTGGCAGGAAACCAAAATGAAAGTGCAATGTGTCTGTTCGTGCAGTGGTTGAGGTTTTAAACAAAAATGCATTAACATATTATTGTTGGGTTAACCAGCTAGATTCAGCAAGTATAGTGATGACCCATATGAGCTGATTTTTAGCTCTAGCATTTAAAGGGATCTCAAAATGATAGATTTGATGGATTTTGGATTGGGGAGCTTATGGTTCTCTTTATAGTTGTATTTCTGCTGCACGTTCATGGAGTGGACACCTTTGTAGTGGGCGAAAGCTCTGGCTGACCTGCAAGTGCCTTAATATGTGCAGTTGATGATGCCCTGATAGAGGGAAGGCTGTCTGTAACTCTGAATCTGAGTGTCTGCTCACCCTGGCTGGCATCACCAGTGACAAAGTTGACATAACTACCTCTCCTCTCAAACAAGCCACCAATAACTTGTCTAATGCGTGATTAGCTGTTGACTCAGTGATATTCAGTAAGTGTCTTCGGTAGAACCCCTGGAATGAACCTGAGGTAAAGGAGTTGAGGGCAGTGGTGACTTTAACACTTAATTTAAGATGATGCAGATCTGTTCTGGTATGCTGCAAATGTTTGCCACCACTGGAGATAAGGGCTTGAAGCTTCTGAGATCCTGGTATTTCAATGTGTCAAAGAAGCTTATCCTCCTCCTGTTGGGATCTGCACCTCTCTGCTCATTCCCAATCCCTCCAGTGAGGAGTAAATACTTTCTGCTGGTGCTGTTCTTCTTTTGTTGATGATACTATAGGTTAATTTAATCTTCATCAGAGATCTCAATCGAAACAGCATAAGTGACATGAATGCTGATCTCAGTAGTTAAAGTGGAGATCAGGCATACAAATCTCAAGTTGTCAAAGTGACCTCCCAGTACAAGTACTGTGAACAAAGTCTCAATGAGAAGGAGGCAGCTTTGAGACCCCAGTACTTATTGACTTGGTTGTCCTTCACAGCTTTAGCTCAGGGTATCAAATGCATGGCAGCATCTTGTGGTGCAGTGGTAGTGTCCCACTTTCTGGGCCAGATGGTACTGGGTTCAAGTCCTACCTACCATGGAAGTGTGTCATAACATGTCCAAGCAAGTCGCTTAGTAGCACAATGGTAGAGCCCATGCTCTGAGCTATGACGCCAAGGATCAAGTTCCACCTACTCCAGAGATGTGTGATAATGTCTGTTAACAGTTTGATTTAGAAAATATTTACAAAATGCAAGAGGGTGGTGGGCCAAAAGAGCCTGTGAGAAATCAAAGGCAATGATGAAAAGTCATCCTGTCCATACTAGATAGTATATGGCTCCTCCATTGTCCATATGAGGCTGAACATTTTGAAAACACAAGTGTCACTAAACGTGGTGGGAAATTAATGCATAGGTCTGATTGCAGGAATAGAGGGTGTGGATGGGGCAAAATCTCTGAGGGGCTGCCCCTCTTATCACAGGTTCTGTTTTCCTCAAGCTCATTGCTCCAACTCCTCAAATCACAGGTTCCTTCTTTGCTGATATAGCCATCCATCCAGGGACTTATTCTATGACTGACACTTAGCTACACTCTCTTTCTCTTTCGCTCACTCTCTCTCTCTCTCACACAGGCTGGGGCTCTTGGCTAACCTTTCACCATTTTTGCAGCAACAGTTTGGGTGAGTTTGCGTGATTCCATTTGAAATGAGGTGAGAAATGGAGAAAATTTGCAGAAGTGCTGATTATGAAGAGTGTTGGGATTCCTGATCATTGTAGTGCCATTCCTTATCTGATGGTTAGTTTGGAGCTGCAACATTAAGTGATGTGCATTCCCCTTGTTGCGCAGCTGGACCTTTGAAAGTCAGTATCCTGTTGTGTTCTTCAGCGTTCACTTCAGACTGGTAGTGGAAGAAGCTTGAAGTTTGCGGAGCAAAAGCGTAGAATGTTGGAGAGTGCGAATTGCTTGTGATTATTTTTGAAAGGGCAGCAGGTGTGAGACACATTTACAATAACGTACCTTGTGTTACATAATTAGATGTTTCATTTTGGAAACCTGTGTAAAGACAATGTATTTTTAGTTCCTCTGTTTTTGGACTGCAAACACCAAGAAGATACTGCTTTAAACTAAAGAGAAGTCTGCAACTTTAAAAATAATGTTTACTGGAACACATTGGGGTGTATGAAGTGTTCTGTTTTTCTTGGAAAGCGAGAGTAAAAGCAGACAGAAAGAGCCAACAGGTTCTGAGCTAAAAGAAAACTACTAGACAACAATGTTCTGTTTGACTCCTGGTGAGTCCATGGCCATGGTGAGTCCACGACCATGGCTTGTGCAGGGCCAGTGTAGCTGAGAACCATCTAATCTGCAAAGAGAAAGCACAGGAAAATCTCTCTCTGTTTCTCTCTCATGTGGAGATCTGGAAAGTCTCTAACAACAGCTAACTGTCTTCCAGCCAATCCGGTACTGAAGGAGGAATAAAACGCCTCTGAAGACAGTGAAAGGACGAATTCTCAACCAGTGAATGAAAGAGAGCATCTTCAACCTCTTATCAGCAAAAAACTAAAATAGGATAGAAAGAAAGTAGCACGTTGAATCCTATGGTCCAGACTGGTGCTATCAAACTGTCTTTCCCGATTTAGTTTTTTTTCTCTTCTGTTTGTGAAGGGGATTTTAATGATGGGAGTGAGTTTAAGTTTGACTTACAACTAAGTAATTCATAATTTCTAATTGTCATCGGTTACAGACAATTTGCATGTAATAAACAATTATTTTCTTGTTAGGTTCAGAAAACTGTCTTGTATTTTCTTTGATCATGAGCTTGTCAGTCAGGTAAGTTGGGCACCTTGGAGAGTTTAATTCAACCTTTTCACAAATGTGATGACCCTAGGAATAGTGGAGTTCAATTTCCAGCAAACTATCCCAGATAGTCATGACATAATGTATAAGTGATTTATTCATGATAAATTAACAAAACGTGTTCATTATAAGATAAGTTTATAGGAAAGTGCTGCCTGGATTCTAAGTTAGAAGACTTAATATTATACAAATACTCTGTCTTTGATACTTGTGCTATCTTACCTATCTAAAGCACAGAACTATTAAAGGATTTCAACAGAAGTACAGGGGGTAATATAACTACATAGCTGTGTCATTTAATAAAGGAGTTTGTGAGAATTAAAGAAAAAAGCCCTGAAAACCAAAAAATAGGCCTTGAGAAAAATTATTTTCATCCCTGATTCATCTCCCTCGGTTGCTGTGTTCTCAACCTTACTTTCACTGATGAGTTCCAGGAAACCTGTGCATCAATAGGTAAATTCCAAAACATGTTAATACCATTGCGGTTAACTTATTAAAGTTCACAGTTTGCCTCTTAAATTTCCTGCATGCAGTGTAAAACACTGTAGATACTTGTGGAACATGGTGGTTTGGAGTTGATGTGCGGATGTATTGTGCAGTTTCCTCCTTTTTAATTCTCCCATCCACAGCCAAACCCTACCACTGGGTAACATCTGTCTCTGACACTGTTTTGTATTATTTGTAACAGTACAACGTATAAACTGTTGAATAAAGTTGTAATTTCTTGCCATGAATTATCCCGCACGGGTTGGTATTATATATATGCAGTTGCAGTAGTGAATTGTTAGAGATCAGTGGATTTACTGAAAACAAATTCTCTTCTTCAAGGCATCCAGTGGCTTGCTTCTTCCACCTGTTTTTCCGGATTAGTGCAATAGTTGTCTACCTTCTTTGTGAATTTCTGAGCAATAGCTTCATTGCCTGCTTTGTGACAATAATATTGCTTCTATCATGTGACTTCTGGACTGTAAAAGTAAGTAACCTTTGGAATATCGAATTTCAACATTCATTAAAAGAAAATTGTCTGTTTTGTTGAACATTGTTGCTTGTGAATTGTGACCTATCCAGTGCAATGTTCCAACTCGATAATTGTAAGAAAAATATATTAGAAAAACTGTTCAGTAACAATTTCTTTTAGGAGTTAGAAAAGGCCAATTTGTAAAATGTGACTTTTTTTCATTGGTTTTAAGTCAGCAAAACTCACCATATCCCTCAATATTTTCTCTTCACTCAGACATATGTCTAATTGCAACTAAAACTCATCTATTTGTTTCATTTGCTTCACTATTAATTTATTCTTTATGTCGAATGCATTTTTATAAAAGAGCAGGTAAGGTGATTTTTTTTTTTTTTTTTTGTTTTACCCCTCTTCCTCTTGGGCTTCCTTGTTTTTAATCTTTCCTGGTGTTTAAATCTTAGCAGTTTGCCATTCTGGTGCTTGCATTCAGGCTTGTGTAACTTTTGTTTGGAAATTAGTGGAATAGGCAATACGCGGCATGGGTTGGAGGTCACTGAGGCACCTGGGGTCTCATGAATGTGTGGTTCAATAGCTTTACCTTTTTCACTAATTAAATATAGGAGCCCTATGGTGCAGAAAGAGGCTATTCGGCCCATCGAGTCTGCACCGAAGATCATTCCACCCAGACCTACCTTTCAACCCTATTGCCATAACTCTGCATTTACCATGGTTAATCCACCTATCCTGCACATCCCAGGGCACTACAGGGCAATTTAACATGGCCAATCCACATAACCTGCATATCTTTGGACTGTGGAGGGAAACCCACATGGACACTGAGAGAACATTTAAACTCCACACAGTCACCCAAGGCTGGAATTGATCCCGGTCCCTGGTGTTGTGAGGCAGCGTGCTAATCACTACCACCGTGCCGCCTTGTAATGTGAGTGGTGAGCTTTAGTTATATAGTTACGATGTTGCTATAGGAATGCAATGGCTAGGATTTTACAGTTGTAATGACAGTAAAATTGAAACTGTTTGCTGCGATTATGCTGTAAAATTCTAGACATTACTGTCAGTGATACCGCTCTGTTCTGGATATGAATCCTAGAAATCAATTGAATTGATTTAATTTCTATTTTGTAGGCTGTAATCTCACAGAACCACCCCAAAAAATCTAACTGCTTGCAATAGATGCAACGGAGTTTTTAATAGCATGACAAGTTATAATTGCTGCTGACCAAGCTCTCTGACCCTGAAAAACTACCATTTATATTGCAAAATGTTCACATATAGTGTGGATCAGAGAAAATTTTGTGGATCTTTAAAACTAGTTTTTGACATTATTCCTCTGTGTCTCAATCTTTATTTTCATTTCTCTAAAACTATGCAAAAATAAGTGAAAGTACCTGAGAATTCTGCAGTGTGATTAACTGCTTAATCTAGTTGATATCATCTGTCCTGGTGTCAGAATGAAATTAACGTGAGAACAGGTTGAATCTTCATCATAGGGATGCCTAGATCTTCATAGGGAGCATTTTGTAAGCTTGTCTGCCCAGATTTTGTGGTCAGCAGATTAGTTCAGATGTAACCATTTTGCTATAAGCTTGTTGTTGTCCAGTATATTAAGTTGAGTATTATTTATCTGTAATGAATAGTAATGTAAATGTTCAAATCCTAGAATCCCTGCAGTGTAGAAGCAGGCCAGACGGCCCATCGAGTCTACACCCTGTGAAGAGCATTCCACCCAGACTCGCCCCCTGTCCTCCATCCTCTCCCTCTAACCCTGCGTTTCCATGGCAAATCCACCTAGCCTGCACATCCCTGGACATTATGGGCAATTTAGAATGGCCAGTCCACCTAACCTGCACTACTTTGGACTGTGGGAGCAAACCCATGCAGGCACGGGGAGAATGTGCAAACAGACAGTCACCTGAGGGTAGAGAATCAAACCCGTGCCCCTGGTGCTGTGAGGCAGCAGTGCTAACCACTGACCCCCCGTGCTGCCTCTTCCCATGCAGATTTTATTAAAGTAATATGTAGCAGTTCTGTTTGTTAGCTACTATTTGAAGTTGACTGTCCAATTTACAAATGAGTCTGAACGTTGCTACAGCATATTTGAATTGGTGAACTGTTTTAAATCTTTGAGATAAATCTTAAAGGTACATTCAGCTTAAAAAAAACTCAATGTTCATGTGAGATATATATGGAAATTTATTGTGCTTGCACAGTATATATTAATGTGCAAATATACTCTTCCAATGATCCTGTGCTGTTTGTATCTCTGGTCCAGAATATCACTGGTAGATTACTGGTGGGGTTACGCTGGTGGAACCAGGTTGATGATGATGGAAAGAGTCACTGGGTCTTTGAGGCGAAGAAGGTATGACAAAAGTTGTTTCTTTTATTTAGAGGAGACCAAAAAGTAAGAGTGTGTGTGTAGGGGCAGGGGTAGACCATCCGGGTCTGTTAAGCCTGCTGTACCATTCAATGCCTGATCTTGGACTTCACTTTCAATTTCCTGTTCTGTATAGTCAATGACGGAGCATCTTCAACCTCCTAGGGTAGAGAATTACAAAGATTCACAACTCTTTGAGTGAAGAAACTTATCTTGGTCCTAACTGATTGACCCCTTATTCTGTGACTGCGACTCCATGTTTTAGATTCCTCAAGCAGCAGCAACAATCTGTCTGTCTGCCCTGTCCAGCTCCTTCCAAATTATGAACATTCCATTGAGACCGCCTCTTATTTTTCTAAATGCCAGAGAAAGTAGGCCCAATTTACCCTTTCTTATCATAGGACAGCCGTTTCATCCCAGACCCCAACTATGATTTTTTGCTATACTGACTCCAATGCAAGTATCCCTTTGCTAAAAAATAGAAACTAAAGCTGTACACGCTGCTGTGGATGTGGCCTCACCAAAACTTTGTAGCCTTGTAACAAGACTTACTTATTCTTGTACTCTAGTCTCCAATAAACCATTTACCTTCCTAATTTCTTGCTGCACCTGCTTGTTAACTTGTGATTTCTTTGTATTAGCACACCCATTTACATTTATAAGTTTTACACCATCTGGGAGGAGAAATCTGCTTTTCATTTCTCATGATCAGTGAATAGCCTCTCATTTCCTTGTGTTTATAACCACTTCTGCCACCACATCCACCCACTGTCTGTATCTCTTTGCAATCTCTGTGTCCTTGTCTCACTTTGTGTTTCCATCTCACTTTGTATGGTCAACAAACTTGGATACATTACTTTCTGTCTCTTTGTCTAACTACAATATAGATAGTAAATAGCTGAGGCCGTAGTATTTATCAATGTGGCACTCCACCAATCACCGCTATCAACTGGAGGAGGTGCAAAGGAGATTCACCAGGTTGATTCCTGGGTTGGGACGGTTGGCTAATGAGGGATTATATTCATTGGAATTTAGACAAATGAGGGGGAGAGGGTGGGAGTTGGGGATCTGAGAGAAACATATAAAATTATGAAGGGAATAGGTAATATAGAAGCAGGGAGATTGTTTCTACTGGCAGGTGAAACTAGAACAAGAGGGTGTAATCTCAAAATTAGGGGGAACAGATTTAGGAATGAATTGAGGAGGAACTCCTTCACCCAAAGGATTGTGAATCTGTGGGATTCCCTGCCCAGTGAAGTAGTTGAGGCTACCTCATTGAATGTTTTTAAAGCTAAGACAGATAATTTTTTGAATAGTAATGGAATTAAGGGTTATGGTGAGAAGGTGGGTAAGTGGAACTGAGACCATGAAAAGGTCAGCCATGATCTTATTGAATGGCAGAGCAGGCTCGAAGGGCCAGATGGCCTACTCCTGCTCCTGGTTCTTATGTAACTTGAGAATGGTCCATGATTCATTATTCTTTGCCTATTGTTTATTCGCGGCCAGCCTTTTTTAGTCTATTTCCCCATTTAAATTTGGCCAGTTCTCTCCTCCTGTCTATGTAATTGGCTTTGTTTAAGTTTACATTTCTTGTTTGTGATTGAAATATGTTGCTTATAAACCCATGTGGAATTCAGTTGTACTATGATCGCTAGTTCCCAGTTTTACTTTTTGAGATTGCTAATTAACCCTGTGTCATTACACAATATTAGACATAAAATAGCTTTAGCCTGAGTTGTTTCCACAATATGTTTCTCCAAGGAACTGTCACAAAAACATTTTGCAAACTCGTCTTCCAGGTCACCATTGCCAATTTGATTAGTTCAGTCTTTGAAGCGTAAAGTCCTACACGATTATTCCATTGCTTTTGTAGCACACTGTAATAATTTCTTGTCTTACCTCTATTTAAAGTTTAATTACAAGCAGCTACTAATTCAACCACCCCACAATATCAATAAACATCTTTTTGAGAAGATTTGTAGCTGGGGTTGTGGATGAGGTTGTAGACTTGCTCGCTGAGCCGGTGTGTTTGATTGCAGACGTTTGTCACCCTGCTAGGTAACATCATCAGTGCGCCTCCAGTGAAGCGTTGGAGTTCTGTCCCACTTGTTATTTATATGCCTCAGTTTGCTGGGGTGGTTGGTATTTATTTCTGGTTCTGTTTATCAGTGGTTTGTATATTAGGTCCAGTTCAATGTGTTTGTTGAAGAAGTTCCGGTTGGAATGCCACATTTCCGGGAGTTCCTTGGTGTGTCTCTGTGCTATTATGGATGTGTTGTCCCAGTTGAATTTGTGTCCTTCTTTGTCCATATGTACTGAGACCAGTGAGAATTGGTCAAATCTCTTGGTAGCTAGTTGGTGTTCGTCTATCCATATTGTCAGTTTTCTTCCAGTTTGCCCTGTGTAATGTTTCTCACAGTCTTTGCATGGTATTTTGTACATTATGATAGTTTTATTGGCTGTGGGTATGGGATCCTGTACGTTCGTCAGTAGCTGTCGCAGGGTGGTTGTTGGTTTGTGGGCTACCCACTATACAACTCAAACTCTGTGTCCGCTATGTAGATGGCACCTTCGTGATTATCAAAAGCACAAGAATAGAAGAAACCCGCTGACACATAAACAACATCCTCACTGGAATAAAATTCACAAAAGAAGAGAACAACAACTGACAACCCTTCCTAGACATAATGGTAGAATGCAAGAACAACGGGGAACTTCAGACTAGCGTATATAGAAAGACCACACATATGGACCAGGTACTTAATTACTCCAACAACCACTCCGAACAGGCCACATCACACTGCAGCGATCCAGAATTGTGCAAAACAAAACAGAACAGGAGCACTTATACGGAGTTTTTGAAAGGAATGGATACCCAAAAAGCACAATCTGCCATTACCTCTGCGACAGACCACAACAAGAAGACACAACATGGCCAGACACACTAGTACCCCTACCATACATCAGAGATGACCACAAGACTACACAGCCCCCTAGGTATCAGGGTAGCCCACAAACCAATAACCATCCTGCGACAGCTACTGATGAACATAAAGGACCCCATACCCACAACCAATAAAACTAATGTAATATACAAAACACCATGCAAAGACTGTGAGAAACATTTCAAAGGCCAAACTGGAAGAAAACTGACAATAAGGATACACGGACACCAACTAGCCACCAAGAGACATGACCAATTCTCACTGGTCTCAGTACACATGGACAAAGAAGGACACAAGCTTGACTGGGACAACACATCCATAATAGCACCAGCCAAACAGGAACATGCCAGGGAATTCCTGGAGGTGTGGCATTCCAACTGGAACTTCTTCAACAAACACACTGAACTGGACCCGATATACAAACCACTGAAAAGCAGAACCGGAAGTAATGCCAATCACCCCAGCAAACCAAGGCATATAAATAACAAGGGGGACAGAACACCAACACTTCACCGGAGGCGCACTGACGATGTTACCCAGCAGGGTGACAAAACGTCTGCAATCAAACACACCGGATCGGCGAGCAAGTCTACAAGCTCATCAATTAACACCATTTATATGAGCTTCTGAATCCGATTTAATGCCCACTGCCTGCATTGAATTAGTACACCACAATACAATTAATTGTGGGCAAGGGCTCTTGTAGCACAGTGGTAGTGTCTTCATCTCTGATCTAGGAGGCCTAGGTTCAGGTCCCATCTGCTTTAGAGGTATATAGCAACATTTCTCTGCAGGTTCATTTGCAAATATCTTCAGAGTAAGTACTTTGGTGATCATGTAAGTTGAGACTTGGGCAGCATGCATGATATTATAGCGTAGGTCCCATTATGATCCCTTCTTGTATAGTCTGGTTCACTGGTAGGATGTGAGCACTGCTGTGATATAAACCTGTATTCCTTCGTTAAAATGGACAATTTGTATAGGACAAAAAAACTTCATAAGGTGTTTCCTTATTGATCATCCAAGTAAATCAACCTAGAAAGACAGCTGTTCAACTTGAATAAACATGAGCATAGCGCAGTACTTTTCAACAAACATGTTATGTTGAAAAGCTAAAATGCTTAAGTATAATTTTTAAACTATTTACACACATATCTAATTGAAGTTGAAATATGTTAAACCAAGCATGATAAGCATAGATCCCAAGTATTAGTTGGATTGATCTGAAGGAAGAGTAGAGTGTTTAATTATTCTGTCCTAAATTATGGAATCTTTCTCTGTTTGTTTTTCATAGCCTTCAAGTCAAGGGAAGAGAGTTTCTTCCGAAGCAGAATCCAAAATCTTCTGGTTAGGATTAATCATCTGCCCCATTCTGTGGGTCATTTTTGTCTTCAGCACATTCTTTTCCTTTAAGTTGAAATGGTTGGTAAGTTTTCACTGCTGCCTTAGTGTAATCATGTGGTTTAGATTTTTCTGATAAAAATTGTGTTGATCATTTTTAATGTATTTGCATGAATGCAAGCACTACAGATACGTTTTCTTTTTCTTGAGGGCTTACAATGCAGAGAAAGATTGTTCTACATATATCATTAAATATTGCTTTAAAAATTCATGCCATTCTTGAGATAAATTTGGAATGGTAGGGGTGGGAGAGGACAATAATAAATTAAAGGCAAAACACTGCAGATGCTGGAAATCTGAAACAAATACTGAAATTGCTGGAGAAATCCATCAGGTCAGGCAGCGTCTGTGCAGAGAGGAATAAACAATAATGATAGTGCAATGATGTTATTCTGCACACAGCTTTGCAAAATAAGTGGTACAAGGTGGGCATTGTTTTATGTGGCATATTTATGGAGTGTTCTTATCATTTTTCTTTCTTTGGAATAGGCTGTGGTTATCATGGGTGTTGCGCTTCAAGGATCAAATCTCTATGGTTACATAAAGTGTAAAATAGGAAGTGGGAAAAATCTAACTAGCATGGCTACCTCCTATCTGGGCCGCCAGTTTTTCAAGACGGTGAGTTTATTTTGAGACTCTTGTTACTTCATGACATTGAAGTGGGACGTTTACTGTTGTTATTACACTTAATTTGTAGGACTATTGTTATGACTATTGGTTCAACTATTGATGGAGAGCATTAACTTTAAAAAGTACTTTAGTTCCCAGTGACTGACTTAAAGGAATCACACAAAAAGCTTTCAAGTTTTCAGACTTTATAGTCTAAGCATTACTTAGTAGGTAATTACGTTCCTAAACTCTAAACTCCAAAAAAAAATCTGCATTTGTATGCTGACACGACCAATAACCCCACACCATGTATACATGGTCCAGTACACACTCCACAGAATTACAGTCTTTCACATAAAACAGTCCAAAGTCACTCCCAACTTGCAATGGGTTCATTTCTTCCTCTTTGACTGAAAAAAGTCGTGTGGCTCAGTTTTCTGAGGATTCAAAAATGGACTTCAGCAGAAAGGCTCATTCAGGTGATTTCTTATTTCTGCCATGTCAGGATGAATTTCTGCAGGTGCCTCTTTACCCGGAGGACAAGCTTGTATGAGCCTTTTGCCTGGTAGCTCACAGCGAACAACTTTTTTCATGCTGTGCACACTCTCTCTTTTGCTGTCTGTACCACCCTCTGTCACTCGTTCTCTGCCCTCGCCCTTCCTCTCGCTCGCCGCGCCACCCTCAGTCTGGAATAGAAAGCCCATTTCAGTAATGGTGCCTTTGTCAACTATCATCACTTGTTGTAAAAATTCTTCTGGCTTCCTAATGTCCTATAGGAAGGGAAATCTGCCATAGTTTTGTGGTCTGGTCTGCATTTGTGGCTCCACAACAATGTGGCTGGTTCTTAACTGCTGTCTGAAATGGCTGAGCACCCCTCTGATTGCAAGGGTAATTAGAGATGGGAAACAAATGCTGGCCTTATCAGTGACAGCCACATCCCATGAAAGGATTTTTAAAATGGTAGGGTGGGGATTGCAATAGTTGTTAAAGCTAAAGACATTTTCAGTCATATTTACAATCTGACTGCTTTAAAGTGGTGTAATATGAATTTCAAATTACACCTCTCCAACTCCTGAATCATAAGCTTGACATTATGTTGAGTGGAGCAGGTCAAATTAAAATATACCTTACAAACTGTGTTCAGAACCATTTCAGTGTTGATGTGACATGATTACAGATGTGGAGATCAAGGTTGCAAATGATGATTTATGACCAGTATATTTAGATCTATTGCAGCAACAGCAGCCCATTAATCTAGCAGTTCCAGTAAATGGGTTGTTCTCGCACCCAAGAGACTGCACAAGGCCTGTTTAATCTACATAGACAAAACATAAATGATCTTGACTGGATGCAACATGATGAGTGATGAGAAGTTTATTTTTGAGAGCTAACCAGGACAAAAAGGTCTGTACAGCTTCCTGTACAGAATAATCTGGAGTATGCGCATTGATATCTAATTCTGAAAGTGATGCAATAATTGATCTATCATGGTGTTAATGATGCTGTCAGTACTGGAGGTCAGCACTACTTATCTGCAGCATTTGTGTAAAATGACTCAGTTTAAAACCATTTTGATTTGCATTTTGGTGCCTGATTGAGGAAGTCTGGAAATGAGCACCTGACAGCACCTGGTGATAGAGCTGTTATATATGTAGACTTAGTGTGGTTGGAGCTGTTGTGGTGCAGTGGTAGTGTCCCTATCTCTGGACAGTGAGGCCTAAGTTCGAGTCCCACCTGCTGCAGAGTTGTGTAACAACATCTCTGAACGGGTTGTTTAGAAAATAGCTGGAGACGTAGCGTGTGCCAGGTTTTGTTATTTGAATGAGATAAATGACAAATTTTGTCTATTCTCATGAAAATCTGCCCTAATCGATGTCACTGGATAAGGAGGATGAACGTTTTTTATTAATTGTTCACAGGACATGGGCATCACAGGCTAGGTCAGTATTACTGCCTGTTCTTAAATCCCCTTGAGAAGGTGGATTGCTGCTACCTTGAGCCTCTGCAGTCCTTGGGGTGTGGGTGCACTCACAATGCTATAGCTAAGAAAGCTACAGGACTTTTACCCAGTGACCAAACAAACAGTGGTATAGTTCAAGTTAAGATGGTGTGTGACTTGGAGAGGAACTTTGAGGGTGATGTTACAAATGCACCTGCTGTCCGTTTCCTAACAAGTGGTATAAGTTACTGGTTTGAGAAGTGTTGCGAAACGAGCCTCGGTGAATTACTGCAATGTATCTTCTGGACATTATAGGTTGCTCCAATATATGTCAGTGGTGAAGGGAGTGAATGTAGATGGTAATGGATGGAATGTTCAGTCAAGCCACCTATTTTGTCCTGGATGGTGTTGAGCTTCTTGGGTGTTGTTGGAGCTGCACCCGCCCAGGAAGTGTTGAGAATTCCATCACACTCCTGACTTGTGCCTTGGATGGTGAACGGGCTTTGGGGAATAGGGAGGTGAGTTACCTGCTGCAAGATTCCTAGCCTGTCACCTGCGCTTGTCGTCTTTATGTTGATAGTCCAGTTCAGTTCAATATCTGGTCAATGGTAACCCTCAGAATGTTGAGACTCAGCAATGGCAACACCATCGAACTTCAAAGGGAGAGGGATAGCTTTTGCCTTGTTGGAGATTATCATTGCCTGGCACTTGTGAATTGCCATTTAGACTAAACTTGGATATTATCTAGGTCTTGCTGTAACAAACACAGACAGTGCCTGTCAGTATAGTGTGGAGCTGGAGGAACACAGCAGGCCAGGCAGCATCAGAGGAGCAGGAAAGCTGATGAAGGGTGTAAACCCGAAACATCAACTTTCCTGCTCCTCTGATGCTGCTGTGTTCCTCCAGCTCCACACTATACTGACTCTGACTCCGGCATCTCTGGTTCGTGCTATCTCACAGACTGTGCCTGTACCTGAGGAGTTAGGAATAGTGCTCAATGTTTTGCAATAATCAGTGACTGAGATGATTAACCCCCAACAATCACAATCAGTGTCCTTTGTGCGAAGTATGACTTTAAATGGGGAGCTTTCCCTTGATTTCCGTTGACTGCAGTTTTCCTAAGGCACTCTGTCAAATGCTGCCTTGATTTCATGCAGTCACTTGCATCTCTGTTCTTCAGTTCATTTTTGGACCAAAGCTACAGTGAGGTCAGGAACTTAGTGGTGCTGGCTGAACCCAAACTGAGCGTCACTGAGCTGGTTATTACTTCATGGCGCGATGGTGAAAATGACTGTCTAATTGTTGATATGCAGCTAACAATATACAGATCGTATTATCCTGATAGATTGCTACAATTTGTCCAACCAAGAATAGAGGTTTGTTTGAGGAGCCTGTCTGACGAAGTTCTTATCTTGTTTGACATTACAGGCAATGAAGAAGGAAAACACAGAATCTTAAAAGAAGCATGGAGTTTTGGAAAAGAAGCTTGACATGTCTTTTGTGTTGTGAATTTTGGAACTCTTTTTGTTGAAGATTGGCCTTTTTACATGTTTTTCCCTCTTTAATGTTCAAGAACCCATTTTGGGAAAATACAAAGATCAGATAAAATTGCAATCATCTCATTATTTGTAGCTTTTCTTCCTGTCTATTAATTATGAATTGGAAGTTACTGTTGTCTGTCTTAACTCAGATTGATTTAATTGTGCTCGAGTCTGAAATGAGCAAATTTAATTTTAGAATAATTCTGATTTTGTTTTTCTTGGTAAATAAACTATGTCTGGCGGAGGAATGGGTGAGAGAAGGAGAAATCTTTAATATTCCTTGGAGTGGGGGAGAACTAGCTCAAGTTTTAAACTTTTATAATAAACATCACAATGATATTTTGATGAGGGAAATTGTATTTAGAAAATGTCCTTTCTAATAAAATGATAGTCTGAGCGATCTATGAAGCATTTGAGCTCTTTAAGGAGAATGTATATACTTAGAGAATATCCTTTGTATGAACATAAAGCAGCCAGAGGAAAGCAGTTTCCAATTTATAATGTTATAGCAATAAATTCATGTTTAAATGCATGACATGTAATACACCACAGTAAATGGAAAATATTTACTTTTGTACAGATGTGATGGTGCAAACATTAAAACAGAATTTGGACAATTTTTGACTGCAATTGAAGCTATTAGATTTAGTCAGGAAATTACCCTCTCAAAGGACATACAATGGAGTTTCAGCTGATGTGCAGCTTAGAGATGAGCACCAGATAGTTACGACGCAATGTATGTAAATGTGACACAAAAGTGAAGTACTGCAGATGTTGGAAGCCTGGAAGTACTCAACAGGATAGGCAGCATCTGTGGAGAGAGACAGAGTCAAGGTTTTAGCTTGGGATGACCATTCATTGGAACTGAAGGCTGTGGCAAGGGAATTTCAGGATGAAGGTTTATTCATGGAAGAGTCGGAGGCCAAGCCAGTCCTTGTCCTTCAACACCATCCTCTTCCTGCCTGAACTTGTTATCGTGTTGAACAACTTCTCCATCAACTCAATGCACTTCCTCCAAATAAGGTGTTACTTGTGGGAACCCTCATGGGTCTTGGATTGGTCTGATTTTTTTACAGAATATGTGAACCATTCCTTATTTAAGTCCTTCAGGCCCTTTTCCCTCAGTTCTTTCTCCGGTATCTTGATGACAGAATTTCTGTTGTCTCCTGTTCTTATGATGAGCTGTAAAATTTTACTGAGTTCCTTTCCCAATTCCATCCTTCCTGCACTTCTGGACTTTTCTGTCTCTGTTTCTGGAGATATATCATCAACTAATCTTCACAGTGAGGCCATGGACCTGACAACATTTCTACCTGGAATGTGTTTCCTCAAACTCCATTTTCTATAAGGATTCCATACCCTCTTTGAGTCTGTCCATCTCTCTCACTCTCTTTCTCTTGCTGTCACACATCTGTTTAGTCATGTGAGATGACCCATTTGGGAGCTGATACTCGAGTCTCAGTATACTCAGTGTTGTCACGAAAGTTAAAGATTTAATTAAGTACTGAAAAGATCCCTGGTTTTCCTGTCTGATGGACTTGGGTTATCTTGGGCTTGGTCTAATTGCTCACGTAGTTTAAACATGAATAGATAACACGGTGTGGAGCTGGAGGAACACAGCAGGCCAGGCAGCATCAGGGGAGCGGGAAAGTTGGTGTTTTGGCTTGGGACCCTTTTCTGAAGAAGGGCCCTGACCCGAAACATCAACTTTCCTGCTCCTTTGATGCTGCCTGGCCTGCTGTGTTCCTCCAGCTCCACACTGTGTTATCTCTGACTCCAGCATCGGCAGTTCTTACTATCTCTGAGTTATATATTAATAGCCTGTTCCTGAACCTTACTGATCCTATGGCTTAAACAGACTTCCACAATCCACCTGAATGAAGAGAGAATCCAAAATGAGCTAGTTTCATTTCCTGACATATGAGCAGTTTGGACCAAATGTCAGAAAAGTCAGCTCTGCACCTCTTAAGAGCCCAAGGTACATTTAAATGCTTCTATCTTAAGGGCAATTTCTCATGTCCACTGTAATCTATTTCACAAGGTTATCTATATTTTGTCCTTTTCATTTGAAGTCACTGAATCTTACTAGCTAAGTTGTCCTGAGAAACTGAGAAATGCTTCATCTGATTCAGCAATTCTACATTTGTCAGCTGCCACCATGAAGCTGTTCTGTATGTGAGCTTGGACTATATTATCTGGCAATCAGCTCAGCAGGTAGAGGCAGCAATCAGATTGACCATATACTTAAATCTGCGGGCTCTTGTTCAGTGTTTCCTCTCATCTTTCATCTCTCTGTGCTGTCCTCTGACGTCCGTGCATGGCAGTGACTTCGAGAAACTGAAATCAATCCTTCATTCAGCATCAACACATTGCATGCTGTGTGCAGAACCTTGGAGCAGCTGCGCAGTGGAAAGGGAACTTTTCTGCTTTGTGGTGTGATGGTAGTGTTCTGACCTCTCAGCTAGGAGGTCCAGGTTCAAGTTCTACTTGTTCCACAAATGTGTCATAACACATCTGACCAGTTTTTTAAAAAATATACCTAATTAAATCTGACACATCAGTATTGCACTGTGGGAGTGCCACTGTTGGGTTAGCATTTAAACCAGGGCACTGTCTGCTTAGTTGTGAAAGATCCCATACCACCACTTGGAAGAGGAGTGATGGAGTGTTCCTCATCTCCTGACCAATATGTGATTTTTCAACCAACTCTATCAAAACAGGTGGCCTTGTCATTCACTTTGCCATTTCTTTTATCCTGCTATGTCCATGTAGACTATCAAGGATACCACGATAATATTGCTATACTCAGTTCTGACAAATTGTCAAGTGTGGACTAACTGTCCTCCTTTGCAATGGGTCCTGTGCCTGTTGAAGGAGGATAGCAGTGATGCTGGAATACATCTGAGACTAAATGACATAGTACCATGAAAGATTATTTTATGCTCATTTTGGACATGAGCATCAGAGACATTCTGATTGTCATCACTAGCCAACTGTTGGCTGCATTAAGGAAAAGAATAAAATGAACGCTTGTGCCCATTTTAACCTTGCCTGATATCCTTTTCCATTAAGAGAAAAACTGAATAAATTGAATTAAGTAATTACTTAAATATGCAACTAAAACCTGGATTAACTGATATTAAGAACTTCTCATAGTGAGTTTCATTGTTGTTAATTTTTGCATGACTGTTTAAATTGAAAGGTCAGTCCTTGCAGAGACTGCAACACTAAAAATTCCAATTTAATGGACCAAGCTTTACTGCAAACACAAAGCCACTAAAGAATGTATTGCACAATACTAGAATGTGTTGTTAATATTAACATTAAGGAATTACAGTGCAGTATGGCTTCCTCCTATTTATATTGTAAAGTGGCTGGAAGTATCTGATGTGGTTACAAGAGGCTGCAATCATCTGAGACACCTATTGCCTAGAGCATTTTTGAAATGTTGTCAACTCTCACACATACCTGAAAAATTAAGCAAACAAATGTCCTTGTCCTGAGCCTAGTGTAGTCCTTGTTCTTGTGTGGTGATATACATTGTGTTTAGGGTTGTTGATACTGCAATAAGCGCATGATGCCAAATACTTCACTATAATCTTTGACTATGAGTTGGATTTCAACACTTAATGTATCGCCTGGAAAAACACTTTAGTAATTATAGATAAAACTGTACATTGTTGGTGAGTGAGTAAAGCTGCTGTTATATCTTATTTCCACCAGAGTGCACTAAATGACTAGATTCACTGCCAAATGTCTCAGTTAAGTGAGAAAGATCCACTGGCAGCAATACACAGAAACTGTAGATTAGACCAAACTTTCCAAGAATATGGCAGTACATTAGTATCTGAGTAAACAGTCATTAAAAAGAGTACAGTTGCTATTTTTATTCTTGGAATTGATGTGGTTCTTCCATGTGTCACAAGTATCCTTGATATCTGCGTTTCATCATTTTAAAAATAACATCACTTCTTAATTGGATAGTCTCTTTAATTTACTTTCAAACAGAGCCTCAAGATGCATTGTTTTGGAACTGCTATTTTTAAATGGGTTACAAGGGTAGGTGACAATCTGTTAATAAAAACATAATAGAAAATTGAGGAGTTACAATGAAATGAGATATATAACATGCTGCATGCAATCAATGTTTCATATTTAGTACCACAGGATAGAAAATGTAAAGAACTTATCACTGTGTTCTCGTGCCCTTCCTGCTGATACGTCATTGCTGGATTTGGGCAGGCAGGAGGTTTTTGAATTGCTTTTGTTTTTAAATGAGTGCTAAAATGGGGATTGCATGGCATGTGGTCTGGAATCTGTCTCCATTTGTTGTCATGACTACATAGACAGTCTAAGTTGTCCAACACTGTCACTGCTAGGTTAAAAACAAACAAAGAACTGTGGATGCCAGAAATCTGAAACAAAAACAGAAATTGCTGGAGAAACTCAGCAGCTCTGACACAACCTGTGCAGAGAGAGCGACAGAGTTAACCTTTTCGGTTCAGTGATCCTTCTTCAGAACTGGTGAGGCTATGGGGCAGGAGTGGAATTCCAAATCAAAAAGGAGAATTTTTAAAATTAAGGCATTTCCAGACCAGGAACTAGCATAAGTCAGTCAATACAGGGGTCATGAGAGTGGTGCAAGGTATAATTTAGGACATGGGCAGAGGGTGTGATAGTGATTTTGAATGTGGCATATTTTCAGTCAATTTTTTCGAGTGCTGCAGGGCATTGGACTCCAACATGTTGAGATATTGGAAGGAGAGAGACATTGGTTTCATTGCCCTGATAGCTGCCCCAGAAATCCTTCCACACAAATTACTGGATGTAGAAACACAGAAGACAGGAGCAGGAGGAGGCCATTCAGCCCTTTGAGCCTGCTCCACCATTCTTCACAATCATGGCTGATCGTCCAACTCAATAGCCTAATCCTGCTTTCTCTCCATAACCTTTGATCCCATTCCCCCCAAGTGCTACATCTAGTCGCCTCTTGAATACATTCAATGCTTTGGCATCAACTACTTCCTGTGGTAATGCATTCCACAGGCTCACCATTCTTTGGGTGAACAAATGTCCCCTCATCTCCATCGTAAATCATCTACCCTGAATCCTCATACGGTGAGACCTGATTCTGGACACACCCACCATCGGGAACATCCTCCCTGCAACTTCCCTGATGAGTCCAGTTAGAATTTTATAAGTCTCTATGAGATCCCTCCTCATTCATCTGAACTCCAGTGAAAACAATCCCAACTTAGTCAATCTCTACTTATACGTCAAACCCGCCATCCCTGGAATCAGCCTGGTAAACCTTCGCTGCAGAGTTTGAGACATGCTGAGTAAAAACAATGCTGGCTTAGACATGGATCCAACATGTTATGCATTTGGACAAAGTCCCATCAGCCCTGTAGCCAAGTGCCTCAGTATCAGTTGTCAACTTTCAAAGAGCTCCAGGACCACTCCAACCTGAACAACCATTCAACCACAATGTGGGGGACTCAGTGATTGTAATACCATCACATGTCATGGATAGATGGTTAATATCT